TGGTCCAGGTTGACCATCCCCTTCTTTTCTCTATGGATTAGAGGTCCATGATGCGGAGGCTGACCTTCTCCCCTGAGGCTGAATGTCCCTGCAGGCGGGCCCAGGACCAAGGGGCTGGCAGGAGCCCGGGGCACCCCTTCCTCTGTCAGGCGGGTGGCTGAGGGTGAGGCGGACGGAGAGCAGGCGGCCGTGGGGAGGCGGGCAGGAATCCCCCGAGCAGCTCCTGTGTACCAGGCACTGTTTCAGACCCTGCAGCAAACACAACAGTAAAATCCCATCTCTGTGTATTTTCTGCCCATTATCCTCCTGCTCCTGGTCCTCCTCCCCTGGGTACGCTCAAAGCTCCCTCCCCAGGGCAGAGTCCCCTCTTCTCTCTGTGTGGGCTGCCCTAGGTGGGGCGCCAAGGTGGGGGCCGGCACAGGGCCAGGCTGCAGGGAGGACCGAGGGGTGCCAGGAGTCTACAAGCCTGGCCTGCAAGGCCCAGGGGTCCTGCTCACTGTCTCGGGCTCCAGGTCCCCATGACTAAGTGGCCCGGACCTCAAATAAGGCAGAGAAGATTGTGACTGGTGACCACACGGCCTGCTAAAGAGCCCATGCCCAGGCCAAGGGTGGGAGGGGCCGCGTCCTATGTCCCCCGCCCAGAGAGCACAATATGGCTGGCAGGCTCAGGGTGGGCAGAGGGAGACCTACACACCTACACACACACTATTCCCGGGAGCGGGCAGGTCCCCGGAAGTGGGTGAGTCCCCTGGGAGTGGGTGAGGTCCCTGGGACTGGGCAGGTCCCCGGGGGTGGGAGAGGTCCCTGGGAGTGGGCAGGTCCCCGGGAGTGGGCAGGTCCCTGGGAGTAGGTGAGATCCCTGGGAGTGGGCGAGTTCCCCGGGAGTGGGCAGGTCCCCGGGGGTGGGCAGGTCCCTGGGAGTGGGAAAGGTCCCCGGGAGTGAGCAGGTCCCCAGGAGTAGGTGAGGTCCCTGAGAGTGGGAGAGGCCTCCAGGAGTGAGCAGGTCCCCGGGAGTGGGTGAGTCCCCCGGGAGTGGGCAAGTTCCCTGGGACTGGGCAGGTCCCTCAGGGTGGGAGAGGTCCCTGGGAGTGGGCAGGTCCCCGGGAGTGGGCAGGTCCCTGGGAGTGGGAAAGGTCCCCGAGAGTGAGCAGGTCCCCAGGAGTAGGTGAGGTCCCTGGGAGTGGGAGAGGCCCCCAGGAGTGAGCAGGTCCCCGGGAGTGGGTGAGTCCCCCGGGAGTGGGCAAGTTCCCTGGGACTGGGCAGGTCCCTCAGGGTGGGAGAGGTCCCTGGGAGTGGGCGAGTTCCCTGGGAGTGGGCAGGTCCCCGGGGGTGGGCAGGTCCCTGGGAGTGGGAAAGGTCCCCGGGAGTGAGCAGGTCCCCAGGAGTAGGTGAGGTCCCTGGGAGTGGGAGAGGCCCCCAGGAGTGAGCAGGTCCCCGGGAGTGGGTGAGTCCCCCGGGAGTGGGCAAGTTCCCTGGGACTGGGCAGGTCCCCCGGGGTGGGAGAGGTCCCTGGGAGTTGGCAGGTCCCCAGAAGTGGGCGAGTTCCCCGGGAGTAGGCAGGTCCCCGGGGGTGGGCAGGTCCCTGGGAGTGGGTGAGGTGCCCAGCAGTGGGCAAGGATGGAGACAAAAATCTGCCGGGGAGCCTGGGTGGCTCAGGTCATGATCTCAGGGTCGTGAGATTGAGCCACACAGCAGGCTCTGTGCTCAGCGGGGAGTCTGCTTCTCTCTCTCCCTCTGCCTCTGCCCTTCCTCCTTCTCTCTCTCTCTCACAAATAGATAAATAAATCTTAAAAAAAAAAAAAGTGCCTAGGAGCACCAGCATCCCCAGTGTCAGGAGTCCAACAGCCTGGGACACAGGACAGGAGGGTGAGGTTCTAGAAGTTGCTGCAGAATGTGAACAAGGGGTGGTGTTCCCCTGCTTGTGTCCCTCCACATACATGCCCCTTGTCTATGGACCCTTGTCCTCTATTGCCTGGCCTTTAAGAGCCCCTGCCCCTGCCCATGCTGCACCCCCACCTAGACTGCCCAGCCCTCCTTGCCGCTGGCTGGTGGCCCCTCCCAGAGAGCCCTCCATGATGCATCCCCTGCACATTGCACGTGCCAGGTCCTAAGGCTGTTGAATGTTCTGGGATTGGTTGGTGACGTGTTTGTCACCTTCAGGTCATGGCCCCTCAAGTGTCCCCAGTGCCCAGGACTGGCACATGGTAGGTACAAAGCCCCTGAGGACGATGGGATGAACCAGAGAGGGGATGGGAGTACTAGAGAACCAGTGGAGACCCCAAGAGAAGCCCCAGTGCTGACTCAGGCCCAGATTCATGTGGTGACTCTGGATGGTAGACTTCTGGATGAGGGGACTTCCCAGGGTGGCACCATGAGCCCACGCCCAGCAGCACTTCTGCACTGGTCGCTAGAAAAGGCCACTGGACCAGGAAGTGCCAGCACCCATCAGACGAGGCTGGAGCATGGGCCCTGGCACCTCTGGTTGGGATGGGGCACCCTCTACTTGCCCACTCTGGTCCCATCACGTCCCTTCTGCCCACATGGCCATGGTCATCAGAGGCAGAGAGCTATTGATGGATGTTTTTATTTCCCATCAGGGCCTGGGGACCAAGGACACCTAATTCAGGGAGTGGAGCCAGGTAAAGCCCCTCACCACCATGGCTTAGCATGCAAATACCAGGAGAAAAGCTGGACTCTGGAAATTTCTGGGCTGTCAGAGGCAGTGAACTGTTCTGTGGGAAGAAGTGGGGTGGTGACTGGCTGTGTGGTGAAGGCACAGGGGGATTTCTTACTACAAGTCCCGCACCCACCCCATGGCTCCAGAGCCTTTTCTCCATCCCCGAGAATTTCTGGGGCTTGGTCTCTTAGTGGCTCAGGTGACTTTTAAGGGCAGTGGGCCAGCCATGGACATGACTTAGGAGGCTGAAGGACTGCCCTTCTCCCAGTGGGTGCCTGGTTGAGTGGACACAGGGAAGCCAGCTCCTCTGGCCTCAGGCTCCCCACTGGTAAAGGAGTGAGAATACTCTCATCCACAGGATGCAGCAAGATGAGGGGTATTAGGGTCCAGCACAGCCTGGCACCCACCAGGAGCAAAGCAGAAGTCCAGGCGGAGGATATTCAAGAAGGCTGAGCACACTTTGAGAAGAAACCCAGTGTCTCAGCTGGTCTAATCCGTAGCCCGCCAGCGATTTGTCCTTTCTCTCTGGGCCTCTGCTCCCATCTCTAAGGTGGAAACACCTACAAGACGATTGTGAATCTGGGAGGTGATTGATAAGGAGTTCACATTGTGAACTCTTATTCTAAGTATGGGAAAGGCATGGCCCCAGTTGTCCCCAGGAGTAAGGGAGACCTAATGCAGTAAGCTCCAGGAGGGAACAAAATCACAGCAGGCTGCTCAGTGAGAGTGAGAGGGGTGGATGGACAGACGGATGGATGGATGAGTAGAAGGATGCATGGATACACTGATGGATGGATGGGTGAATGGGTGGATGGGTGGATGGACTGATGGACGGATGGATGGATGGATGGTGGATTGATGGATGGATAATGGATGGGTGGATGGATGGATGGATGGATGGATGGATGGATGGATGGATGGATGGATGCTTGGGTGAATGGGTGGGTGAGTGAATTAATGCATGGGTAGTTGGGTGAGTGAGTGGCTAGGTAAGTGGATAGAAGGGTGTGTAGATAATTAGGTGGATGGATGGGTGGGTGGGTGGATGGATGAGTGGACAGAGGTGTGGGTAAATGGGTAGGTAATTATGGATGGATGGATGGATGGATGGATGGATGGATGGACAATGGATGGGTGGGTGGATGGATGGATGAGTGGATGAATGGATGGATGGATGGATGGATGGATGGATGGATGGATGGACGGACGGACTGACGATGGATGGACGGATGGGTGAATGGGTGGGTGAGTTAAAGCATGGGTAGTTGGGTGAGTGAGTGGCTAGGTAAGTGGATAGAAGGGTGTGTAGAAAATTAGGTGGATCGATGGGTGGGTTAATGGATGAGTGAATGAATGAGGGCCTGAAGTGAATGAATGAGGGAGTGATCATTTGCTAAACCCAGGTGAGTGCCAGTTCTGTGGTGGACATACCCCACATATTATTTCTCTTGACCTTACAGATGTGCAAGAGGAAGACAGGTCTCAGGGGTGGAGGGTGCCCTGTCCAGGGTCACATTCTGGCACGGCTGAGAGCCAGGTCTGTGACTGCCAAGGCTATGTGCTCTTGGCTGCCCAGGGAGATCTGTTAGGCTGAGGCCTCAAAACAGCCAGGCACAAACCCAAGAAAGCCGGGCAAGACCTAGGCCATGTCTATGAGCACCATGTCCCCGCACAGCCTGGTCCTCACTCCTGGCTGATGCTGGTCCTCCTTGGAGTTGCCCCCCACCCTCGTAGGCTCACAGCAAACACACGATGAATAACCAAGGCCTCTCTCCTTGACCATCTCCCCCTGGCCTGCGAGTCCTATGCCACACGGGCCTGCTGTCGTGTACAGCAGAATCCGCAGGGCCTGCACACAGTGGGGCTCCATAAATGTGATGAAAGAGGGATGGTGGGCAGAGGCAGGCAGGCCTGGATGGCTTCCCAGCACTCACCCCAGGCTCACCCCACCGGAGCACGGCTGGGCAGAGGACACAGCCCCAGAGCCCTGCCCCCAGGGCCTCTTCTTGCTCTAGCAGGGGTGGGGCAGGAGGGGTGTCTGATCTCTCCGCCTCTCTCAGTTTCTCTGGGCCTAGGTTGCCCACAGTAGGTGTTCAGTAAACATTTGCTGATGGAAGGACCAAGCAAAAGACCCCCAGTGCTTCCCCACTGTGCCAGCCCCAGGGCCCCTCTGGCTGGTCCCTCCTGCAAGCTCAGCCCTTGTCTGTCCCAGGCTTGCGTCCCTGTGGACTGGGGGCTGGGTTGCTGAAGGGCATGGGGAGGCGGACGAGAGGGACGGGCTGGGGAATGTCTCCCCACACCCTGCATTGCTTCCTCAGGCTGCAGTCCCCAGGCGTCCCCAGCCCTGGGTGCCCGTCCCTCCGGCGGCCCGCTAGGACTGGCCTCTTGGTGGCCTCACCTCTCCGCTGCGGCTTGTCCATGCCCTCAAGCCCAGAGTCACCAGGTCCTGACCACCAGGCCCTTATGTCCATTTCTTACAACTCTATTTATTGAGGCAAATAGACATACCATTTTCACATCCTCAGTGGCATTGATCACATTCACAATGTCATGCTCCCCTCACCAGCATCTCTACAACTTTTCTTCACTCCAAACATGCTCTGTGGCATGAAGTGCCCTGGCATTCATTCCGTGGAGAGTCCCCAAGCACAGCCCTTAGCAGGGCCACACCCCCGGGGCCTCACTGGGGCCTCCAAGGAAGACTCGAGACCGAAGGACCACACGCCTATCCCCGAAACAGTGGCACAGAAATCCCAACTCAGGGCCCCTCCTCTGCTCCCCACCCCCTCACCTGTGCTCAGGGGATCACCCAGGGCTGCCCAGATGGCGCTCAGAGTGGGGACAGAAAACGCGACTACTAATGAGAGAGGCCCGTGATGCATTCATTACCTGGCAGACAGCGGCTGGAGAACACAATTCAATTAACTGCACACTTTAAGTTCAATCAAGAGAAGGGCTGTTTTATTGACTTGTTTTAGCTGCAGGAGAGTGCACGCGTGCGTGCATCTAATCCTCTGTCCTCGGGAAGTGGGGTACGTGGGTCTCCTTGTAGGGCAGAGCATCCTGCACGAATGTCGGGGGGCGGGGCTGCAGTCAGAAGCCTGTGGGTGTGCTGTGGGGCTCTCCTGGTCTAGGAATGGTGGGATGAGGCAGGCAGCAGGGGTGAGCGAGGGGCCCAGCAGCAGGACGGAGAGGCCGGCCAGGGGTCCTGCAGAGCGGCAGCTGGCCCCACGCGGAGAGGCCAGAGGGCCAGCACTGCGAGGGCCCTGGGAGACCCCTGGCACGTTCCCCCCAGCCCCGGGCTCCTCCCACCCAGAAGCTGCCGCCCCCTCCCCTGCCCTGCCCCCTCTCTGTCGTTCCAGTATCGGTTTAATTAAAGAATGAGGCACCGCGAGAGCCCGTGGCCTCATTTTTGGAGGCACAAGTGAGAGGAGATTCATGGGTGCCCTCACTAGAGTTGCCGGCAACAGGCACATCCCTGAGCTAGGAGTAAGCCTTGCACTCTGGGCTCCCAGAAAAAAAGCACTTCATTAAAATGATTGCCCCCATGGAAAGGGGCAAAATGCCTTCCTCAGTCAGGAAGAGGAAGTGTGTTATGGCGGGCCCCAGGGACCCACCTCCTCGCACACCTGCCCCGGCCAGGGCCTCCCCCACCAGACAACCCCGGGCCTAGTTCAGGCACCTCCTCCCACCGGCCGCTGGAGCCAAGCTGTCGCAGCCCCTGCCCGAGTCCTCCCCCACAGGCTGCATGTCTCTCCACGTTTGTCTCCCCCGTTCCAGCCAGGACCCCCAGCCTTGCCCTCTGCAGCAGCAGGGCCTCTGGTACCCGCACTGGAAGGAGGACGTAGCTGGCAGAGAAGTGGGAGGGAGGTGAGAGTGGGGCTGATCTGCACCGCAGGGTGCAGGCTGGGACCCCAGAAGGGGAAGCGAGAGAGGGGAAAGGCGGGGAAGGAGGGCCGGCTAGGAGCTGGCAGGAAGAGCCGACTCCGCTGGGGAGAAGCCCGCCGTGGCCGCACCACAGCGCTGGGAGACTGGAAGGCCGTGTGAGGACCGGGGTGGGCCCTCTGTGCAGGCCCATCCTGGCCCCGACACCCAGCTCCCCCCCTCAGGGTACAGGCTGGCCCCTGCTTAGCAACCACCTCAGGCTACAGAGCCTTCACTCCACGGCATCCAGCCGCCCATCCGAGGCCTCGGGCCAGCTGAGGGCACATCCGCCAGTGGGGGGACGTGCAGACTGTCGGGGACACGGACAGGCCACTGGAGGCTCCATCCCTCCAGGGTCCCACTGACTAGAGTAGTAAGCCCATCAAGCCCAGGGTGGGGGTAGTGGGGGAGGTCTGCCGCCCAGCCTAGAGATCTGGAAGCCATCTGTTAGCTTCTGCAGGCCCCTGGCTCCCAAGGTCAAGGGCCTCTGGTCCACACTCACCTCCACTCCTACCCACAGGGCAGGTGCCCACACCCCACCTGGGTAACAGCCTCCCTGCTGCTCCTTGCTTCCTGCTGGAGGCCCGTCCCCTGGGGGAGAATTACCACCTGTGGGCCTCCAGGCCCCCCCCAGCCTAGCGAGGTCATGGTCCACGTTTCAAGGTGGACCTTGGGACAATGGCCCCCAACACATGGGCCAGGCTGAGGCTAGCTCCTGTAGCATCAGACGGCCCATCTGCTTGACCAGGGGTGGGGGCATCGTGTGAAGAGTGGGCCTCAGCAGGGTGTCCCCATGAGATGAGCTGTCCAAACCCAGACCCTGGAGAGTGAAGGGATGCTATTAAGGATTGTGCCCAGACACCAGGTGCCCACCAGGACCAGCCCAGGCCAACCAGGACATGGGGTCCCCTTTGGGTCCCCCAGCCCAGCAGGCCCCAGACAGCGCAGAGCCAGAAGCCCCTGAGACTGAGGAGAGCGCCTCCAGCTGCCGGGGCTGGCCAGGGGGGACACGGCCAGGCCTGAGTCCATCTGGCAGCTGCCCAAAGAGGGAACTGGCCTCAGCTGGGCAGCCTTTTGACGAGTGACAATAGCCCGGGGCCTGCCCCCTTCACTTCTCCCCTTAAGCCCCCAGCCCACCACCTGTCCACACTGGAGGGGGTCTGGCAGGCCACAGACCCCTTCTTATTTCCAACAGAGTCTAAGGACCAGAGAAGACTATGTTCATCTCAAGTCCCTCAGCCCCTGTGGCAGAGCAGGTGCTGAGCCCGCTGGCTGGGCCCAGGCCACTGGCCCTACTGTGGGGCTTCTCCTGGGTTTGGGCGGCCTGGTGACCTCTGTGCTCTGGTGTCCGACGCCGGTGGGTCACAGCCACGTGGGGATCCTGCACCCACTGGCGGGAGGCAGCCCAGAGACCACCCTCTCACACCACCATGACCCCACCTGCTGGGTCTCAAGTGTCCTGTCTGTCCTGCTGGGTGGCTGACCTACCCGGGGGCTGTTCCTGCCCTGTAGCAGCCTCCCCGAGCCCTTGTCTGCCTGCAAGGCCCGGTTCCCAATTTCAGCCAGAGAACTCCTACGCACCCTCCCTGACCCACTTCCAAGCTCACCACCTCCATGAAACCCTCTCAGTTCCCCCAAGCCTTTCCTACAACCCCAACCTTCTGCTCAGCAGGCCACCTCTCTCAGGCTGCATTCATCCTGCTCACCTCTGTCCCACCAGCCAGGCAGCCCCCGGGGACCTGAAAAGCCTCAGTGAAGGCTGAACAAATGAGTAAGGGCCCTGAATGGCACTGGGGGAGCTACCTTTCCGCACACAAGACTGTCCTGGGCTCCTGCTGGCTCCCAAGTCCACATTGGCTCAGGTGGAATGACAAGCATTTAGCTGGGGCCCTAACCTGGTTCGGCTCCCTCTCCCTCCTGCCTCCCCGTGGGTCTCTGGGACTGAAGGGTAGGACGCACGCACAGCCTCGAGGACCGGATGGCCAGAGCCGCACCTCCCGTGCCGTGGCTCCCAGCCACGGAAGCCACACTGGGCTTTAGCAGGTCTTTTCAGTTGTAAGAATTGCTGCCCCACCCCCACCTTCCTGAACATTCCTCTGTGGCAGCCCAGTGCGGGGTCTCCCGGAACTCCCCGGGGTCGGTGGACGGCAGCAGATGTAGACGCCGAGGGCCCCGGGTCTCGAGCAGGGAGCACACCCCGGATCAGGCTGGGGAGCGTGCACTGGGCTGGGGAGGAGGCAGCCCGCGCCTCCCGAGTACGCCGTGGAAAGCCGCCCCATCCCGCCCGCCCCTGCTTAGATGGGGCCCTTCACCTTGGAAGCTCCCCTCCCGGGTCTCCCCGGGACGTGGAGGCCACCGCTTCTCATCTTGCTCCAGCTGCCTGACCACCCGGGAGCTGCCGGCAAAGAACGAGGACGGTGCTCTGGGCGGTGTGGGGGCTGGTGTCCGCTGACACGGAGGTGAAGACGGGGTGCGGGGGACCTGGAGGCCCTCTGGGCCCCTGCGGGGGGAGGGCATGGGAAGCGCACGCCGCCCTGTGTGGGTGCCCACGAAATACGCTTCTGCACCAAAATACAGAACACGTTCTCTAAGGCAAGTTTGCTGCGAATGGTCAATTTTACGTAAATCCACGAGGCCTGACGTGGCAGTGCTGAGCACACTGTCCTTCCCGGGTCCTGGCCAGCTCCGAGCGCCCGTGGGGGCCACAGTGGCCGGTGGCCACCACAGCGCCCGGTGGCCACCGCAGCGCCCACCCTTCAGGCCCGAAGCGCGGCCCCGCCTGCAGGGCTCAGTCACTGCAGCTGCTGCTGGCTCTGCGGGAGGAGCCGAGGTCCAGGGCCGCTCTGTGCGGCGGGGACCACACTGCCAAGCTCAGCAAGGGCCAGGGAGGCGCGGCAGGTCCCCGTGCCGCGGGTCCCGCGTCCTTCTGTCCCTCCGTTCACTTGCGGCTTTTGCAGTTTCTGCTAATGTAGCACTTGAATTTCTCTAACAGGTTTGTTCACGACTCTTGGGTTCTCTCCTGAGCGGTTGCTCTCAGGCCGACCAGAATGTACTTTGGATGTGGACACGCTCACTTCCTGCCGGAGACCCTTCCGGTGTGGTTGTGACACAGGGCACATCTATAAACGTGACGAACCCAAGATTATCACTTTATGGAACGACAGGCTTTTTCAAGAAGCTGCCAGGGGCACCCAGGTGGCCAGCTGGTTAAGCATCGGCTCCTAGCTTCAGCTCAGGGTCGTGCGATCGAGCCCCACGTCCGGGTCCGTGCTGGGCACAGAATGCTTGAGATGCTCTCTCCCTCAGCCCCTCCCGCTCATGCTGTCTCTAAAATACATAAATCTTAAAAAAAGCAGCAGCTGCTGCAGGAGCTGCCAGAGGAAAGGGCAGCAGGGGCTGGCACCCGTAACCCCAAAGGTGTCCAAGGTCAAGTGGACACTGTCTTCTCTGAAGACAGAACTGCCTTTAGCAGGGCTTGTTCTGAGTGGATCCGATTTACCGTCTGCGTCACTTGCTTTGAGCCCCAAGAACTTCCTTTAGCATTTCCTGAGAGGCGGGCCCACCAGCAGCAAATCCTGTTTTTGTGCATCTGCAAACATCGTTCACTCACCTTATTCTGAGAGCGCTTTGGCAGACGCAGGAATCTTGGCTGTGAGTTTCCTGAGCTCTCGGGCTGTGCCGTCCCCGACTGAGCTCAGCCGCCAGCCCCACTGGGCGTTCTCAGGACAGGGACAGCTTTCCCTGTGTTCCCGACTCTGTGGATCACACCGTTAGTCCCACTGGAGCTCACCGGGCCTGATTTGTAGATGAACATGGGGATTTTTCGGGCACCATGTGAGTATTTTTTGTTCCCTTCTGCCCCCTGGGGCTCCGGTGACACGTAGGTGTCCCTGCACTGTGTGGTCACCTAGGGCTCCGGGTCAGTCGAGGTCACAGGTTCTTTCTCCTGCCAGCTTACAGCAGCTGCTGAGCCCCTTGGGAACGCTCCACTTCGGTTCTCGTACTGTTTGGCTCCGGAAGCCCCACTCAGTTCTTCTGGGTGTGGTAATTCTCACCTTCCTGTTGATGCTATGTGATGCGCCATCACCAGTCTCTCCCTTCGCCCCCCACCCCCCGACCACGCGTAGAACGGCCAAGTCCAAGTCTCTTCCTGTTAAGTCCAGCGCCTGCCGGCTCTGCAGCCTACTCTTCTCCTGCGGTCTGAGCCATACCTGTTTCTTTGCACGTTCGGGTGGGAAACGGATCACTTCGGGGAGCGCACTGCCGCAGTTCCGGGTCCTGGCCACCCCACCAGGTCGTGTTACTGTCATCCTGTCGCTTACTGTGTTTGCTGGCGCGGCACTGGGCTCGTCCCTGCCCCCGCAGCCCTTGCTCCGGCCTCTGCTGCCTCCAGGGGCGCAGCCGTGGGCTGGCCCACCGTCACCCTGGGAAGACAGCGGCTCCGGCGAAGCTGGCCTCTCCTCCCGGCCCACACCAGCTCCTCGGCACCGCTCCCCGTTGGCAGACTGCTCCGGGTTTTCCAGTCACGCCTGGGCATAAAGGCTTCAGGGCCTAATCCAAGCAAATTTGGCTTTTGCAAGAACAGCTCCTGAGATCAGTGAGAGTCTTCTGACCCGCAGCCAGCCTCCAGCTCAGCCCGTGTCACCTATCAACCCACTGCCCCTCCCACGTGCTGTCTCTACGAGCTCCCCTTTCGCGAGCACCCCTGAGCCTCTTGTGGAGGGAAGGGGACTGGGTCACAGCCTGCCTCTCCGGACAAGGCCGCTCGTCTCTGACAGCTCTGGGGTGGGCGATGGCAGTCCCAGCTCTCCGGGGCTGGTCTCCGTGTGGAGCCCCCACCCCACGAGCCGAGACCACCACGGGCTGCCTGCCTCCATCCTCCACACGCCGGGCCCTCGTGGTGCACCTGCCCGCTGTGTCCTTGCAGAGAGGGGCTGAGGCCAGAACGCGGCTGCTGGAGAGGGCACGGCAGAGGGGGGAGTCAGGAGACCCGGCCCGGCTTTCCCAGATGGCTCCCCGGTGCGCACGCTCCCTTTTCCAACCACACTGCCCGGATGCCCCGGCGGCCGGTGGGGCCTGTGGGACTGGGACCCGGCCCAAAGGACTGGAGCAGAAGCGATGCGTGTCGGCAGACGGGCAGCTCGGAGGAAGTGTGCTTCCTGCGGCTGAGGGCTGGAAGCAGTAGACACCAGGGTGGGACCTGGAACTGTCTCGAAACACACAATGGAGCCACAGGTCCCAGGCGGCAGAGGAGCCTGGCTCCACGTGCGGAGCTGCCTCACCACCCTGGGTCACCCTCCTGGACTTGGCGGCTGGACCCGAGGCAGGCAGGAGCCCGTCTGTGCTCTCCCGCCCTCACGGACCCACTGACGCCCCGGGCCACCTTCTGCCCCTCACCTGTGTTCCAGCCTCCCCAGCAGCTTCCTGCCTTGTCTTCAGGAGGCAGGACAGGGGCCTTGTCTGATCACCCTCCAGCCTCGGGCCGAGCACGATGGTCAGTACACGCCGGCAGGGAACACAGGCCACGCTCTATGCTCAATGACGGATGAAGCGTGAGCACATCTGCACACCAAGAAAGGCCGCTGAAGCTCGCACCTGCGCCTCCCACAGCAGCTCAGGCTGGCCCTTGGGGGCGGCAGCGGCGGGTCCCGTTTGCCCCCAGTTCTGCTTCCCGCGCACCCCGGGCTCCCGGGAAAGCACGCAGTCTGCGTGGCCGCCTACCCCTGCTTCTGCCCCATCCCCCCAGGGCCACATCCGACTCCAAGGGCCCTGAGCTGCCTCCAAAGGCTCTGCCTTCTGGCCCAGGAAAGACCGGCCAGGAGGGGTGCAAGCATGACCCAACGGGATGGAGAAGCCTCCCAGACGCCACACCCGCGGACCCCACTGCCGGGGCTCTGGGCCACGTGCTCATGGCAGACGCGGAGCCCGGGCCTCCTGCAGGTGCCTCCACAGTGGCCAGAGAGGAAAGAAGGGGGCACTGGTCCCACCTGCTCCGATTTCACATCCAGCCTAGTCGGGCTCCACCCAGAACTGCTTGGGAAGGATTCCGAGGCGGAAGCACGCTGACCCCTGAGCCTGAGGGGCCGGGCAGAAAGTGCCTAGCGGAGCAGTTGGGAGGGGCTCCCAGAGGACAGGGAGGGCGGCGGGACGGGGTGGAGACGCTCACCAGCCGCCGGGCCACACAGCTCACCAGACGGCCTTGCTGGGCCCTGGGCCTCTGCCAGCACCCACATGTGGCCCCGCGGCCGGCTGCAGCCCAGGGCACCTGGCTCCGCCCGAGCCAGCAGCAGAGGCCACGTGCGGAGAAGCGTGCTGCCCATCAGAGAGGGAGGCAGGGGAGGCCAGAGCTTGCTCTGCCCCAGGACCTCCTGAGCAGCAAGAGGGCTCGAGCTGGCGCCGTGCTCTGTGGCCGCTTCTGGAAGGAGCACCTTGAGGACAGACACCCCTCAGGCTGTCCAGTGACAAGCATTTACTGACTGGCCACAGAATGGCCAGGACCGGGGCAGGTCGCGAATCCACGGCCTGGGGTCTACAATCTGATGGGACAAAGCCTCCAAGGGGACCCAGGAGCCCCACGTGTCCTGCCCCTCCCCCGGCTGTACCCAGCCAGCGAAGTCCCGCTGTTCGAGAAGCACGGGAGAGCTCCTCGGCGTCCGGCCGCCTCTCCGGGCCACCACCACCTACACCGAGGCGAGGGCAGGCGCTCCAGGGACCCAACACCTCACGTCCCGTGACACCACAAGCAGCCGCAATTCAACAGCACGGGGCCACACGAGTCCGAACCAGCAGCCAAGCACATGGGTGCTCAGATGTCACCCCGGGCACAGGAAGGAAAGGGTGCGACGGCAGCACGATCCCGAGGCAATCTGGCCTGAAGACTCCACGAGGATGCTCTGAAAACGGCCTTGCTCGGTTCACGCCCTTCAGCCCTGCATTTAAAGCAGGAAACACGCACGTCCACAAGGCGACACGGTGGCGGCGACAACCGTCGCCTCATGCTTGGGAAGATGCACACAGCAGAGGAACGGACAGTGAACCAAACGCTGTGTGGAGGCCGGTGGGCGCCCCAGAGGGCAGGGGGCCGAGAACCACGAGGCGGCCGGACGGCCAGGCCGGAATCCCAGGGCGCAGCGGTGAAAGACAGAAGTCACAGCCCCCCATGTGCGCGCAAGGAGGGTGCGCCGTCCCGGGGCGCAGTCCAGGCCGCGGGCAGCGGGGGGCCACAATCCGCCCACAACCAAGCCATGCAGCCGGCTCTTCCCCACACGGCGTACCGAGGCATGAACGGCCAACGCTGAAGTTCAAATGCAGCCGGAAATCCAAACAGCTGGACTTAACGCAGGGCACGAGCGCACGCCTGAGACGCACTGCTGAGCGCTCAGCAAACTCAGTGACATGCACGCGGTCAGCACGAACTCCTGTGGAACGGGGGCTCGGACGACGCAGTAGATTCGGCACCAGGACGCTGGACTCGCCCGCAGTGCGGCAGGGACCCTCGGGGCAACAGGAGGCCCGGGCGGACAGTCCTGCTTGCGTTAGGGGAAGCGACTCCGCCGTGCCAACCCAACGTGCGGCCCCCACGCCCTGGGGCCCAGCCCAAGGGGCGAGACCGCCTAGCAGCACGGAGGAGCTTGCAGGGGGCTGCGCAGCTGAGCTCACGGCTGAAGTGAGGACCCGCCACCTACGAACCGCAGGCACGGGCGCCCGCCTGACACAGGGACGGCGCCACACCACCGACCGCGCCCCGAGGGGATGGCAGGCGGGCCCAGGGCAACACTAGCCCTGGCAAGTGGCCGCAGGCACCGCCATCAGTTGGCCCGAGGGCCGGCTTTGCTCCTCCCGGACGGACAGACACCTCCACCCACGCACACAGTGGGGCTCAGCCAGCCAACACGGAGCCAGAATCTGCCCGGCACGGTCCTGGCTTCCGGCCACGGGACGCTCCGCTCGGCTTCGGGTGTGTGGGACCCTTCCGGAGCGGCTGCTCACATTGACGGGCCAGGACGGAAAACACGGTAAGCCCGCGATGCACCAGACGCGCAGGGATGGGCCGTCGCGAGCGGCCGGGAGCCCACACCGGGCGCCCCGACCTCCCGGACAAGCTCCGGCCCGCAGGCGAGGGCCACGCCGACATCAGTGCTCGCCCACCGTGGAGGAGCAGGGCAGAGGGGGGGCCTCCTGGGGGGCCTCGAGTTTGACCACGGCCCTGAGGGCCACGCGCCGCCGCTTCACCTGCCTCTGCCTGGCGAACACGGAGCGCAGCGCACGCAGCTGCCCCACCTCCTGTGCCGTGAAGCAGGGCTGTCCCTCGGCGAAGCGCACCACGGCGTCAAAGGACAGGGCCGCCTGCTCCCAGGCCGCCTCGTCGCCGTCCTTCTCAGCCTGCTCCGGGCTCCCGGCAGCTGGGGCCGGGCCCTCTGCGGCCGCGCCCCGGGGAAGCCGGCTGCCAGGGCGGGCCGGGGCCTCTCCCCGCAGCTGCAGGATGTGTGCGAAAGTCTGATCGTGAGGCCTCGCTCGGAGGCGCTCCGGCTCCTCCTCCGAAGACGAGCCCTCGGCGAACGTGACCGCGGGCCACAGCTTCCTCCAGGCCCGGCTGAAGACGTCGCCGGGCACGGCGCTCCAGGCGCAGGCCACGTTGAAGACGGCGTCGTTCACACTGTAGCGGGGGTGGCAGGCCTGCAGCGGGACGGGGGGGTTGATGAAGTGCCTCATGAAATCTCTCCGAATGCCCTGGTCCATGGGCTGAATCAACGAGGTGATGCTGGCGGGCAGGAAGACGGTGAAGATGTTACCGGAGGCCAGCTCGGACTCCCGCGGGCGGGCGCGGGCGTTGTCCAGCAGCAGGATGGCTTTGCCGTCCTCGGGCAGACCCGCTGCCCGGAAGTGCTCCTTCACCGACGGAACGAAGATATGATGGAACCAGTCCGAAAAAATCTCCTTGTCCACCCACGCGTTACCTTGGGCCTTGTAGGCGACGGGCAGGTGCTGAATGCCCCCGAAAGCCCGGGCACCGCCGCCTTTCCCAATCACCAAGGGCTTGATCTTGTGGGAGCCCGTGGCATTGGCGCACATGAGGACGGTCAGCCTGTCCTTGCTCTGCTTGATGCCGGGCACCGTCCCACCTTCCAGGCTGGGACTGGGCAGGCACCGCCAGAAAAGGCCGGTCTCGTCGGCGTTGTAAACCTGCTCAGGGGACAGGCCGTGCTCGGCCGTTAGGCTCCGGAAAAAGCCACAGAACTGCTCGGCTGCTCGGTGGTCGGCCACTTGTTTCTCACTGGACGCGTCCAGCTTCTTAATGCCGTGCCTGGCCTTAAAACGCCAGAGCCACCCGCCAGAAAACACGCAGGGCTCCGTTAACTGCATCTGCTCGTAGAAGTCCTTGGCCTTCTCGATGAGCATGGGGCCCGAGACGGGCACGCCCTCAGCCCGCTTCCCCAGGAACCACTGGTACAGGACGCGGTCCAGGTGCTCGAGCTTGGGCGTGTGCAGAGTGCGCCGCTGCTCCAGGGCCTTGTTGGAGTCCGAGTTGGCAAAGAAGCGCAGCAGCTGTGCCTTGTGGGCCTTGATGTCGTACAGGGTGGACATGCCCACGTTGTACTCCTGCATCAGCACCTTCCTGCTCTCCCCCTTCTCCAGGCGCGTGCAGATGTCAATCTTCTCCTTCAGGGTCAGCACCACCCTCTTGCGCTTCTCCCCTGGGCTCCGCCCAGCGGCCTGCTTGGAGGCCATGGGGGGAGTGGCTTGTCCCCAAGGGCTGGGGAGGACACACGTGGCGGGGGGGGGGTCCTGGCAGAGTCCTTGCCTCTCCTCCCCCCGTCCTCTGCTCCCTCACCTGCCTGTCCCGTTCCGCTGATCCTGGGCCACCATGAGCCACAGTTCCTCCTTTGATCCCCCCTCCAGGGCTAGCGATGTTGCCGCCTCCCCGCCTCTCTGCAGGAGAGACGACTCATGTCACGCTGCCCCTGGACGTGTCCACACTGTTGGAACTCCTGGCCTTCTCTGAGGGGGACGGGGGCCGCTCCTCCCTTCAAACGTGGACCAGAGAGTCGAGGGGTCCCGGGAGCTGGCTTCCGGTTAAGCGAGGCTGTACTGTGCGGGGACGCCTCTCCGGGCTCACGGCGCCGTCTGACGCCGTGCTTTAGGAACTGGAAAGCAGAACAGGGGAAGAAAGAACATTACGGACCGCGGGCCTGGGCCACCTGCAGGCATGCGCTCGCGACTTCAGGCACACGGGGAAGCTGCAGCAGAAACCACGGTGCTGTAGGGGCAACCAACACGGGAGCTGGCCCGAGCGCACAGCGTCCGGGAGGCTGCCCAGCTGGGCACGCGGGCTCCTTCCAGCGACCTCTCGGTCACCACAGCTCCTTCAGGATGGACAACTCCATCCTCTCCTGACCCTCCCTGCGCCGCTAAGCAGGCTTGCAGGGCTGAGACTAGAGGTAGCCTTGCTGGATCCTTCGGGAATCACATCCCCGCCGCGCTTTGCCTGCTGAGACACCAACATCCTCCAGCCTGTTGCCAGCAGTGACCGGCCCTGCTGGTCTACTCAGTGCAGTGTTTGCTGGGACAGTCCCGTCTCCTCCTTCACAGCCCACATCCCCTCAGTTCCTCCATGACTTGGCCCCTCCCAGCCGGGAGAGATGGCAGATCGCCAGGGAGGCTACAGCCAGCGCACCGCCAGTCATCCCGTCCTGCAATGACAGGCATGCAGGACTCACAGGTGGGCTTCGAGCAACTCCCCACAGCCTCCCACCCAAACCCTTATTTTGGCTGTCTTCCCACCTTGTGCAGATGCTGAGGCCACAGGACTACTCATATGTGGAGCATAAAAATGCAGCTCTTTGAGAACACAACTCAAGAGAAATGATGTTTATTCAAATGCAGGAAGAGCTCCAAAGACTAACTCTAGGCCTGTCACCAGCCAGCTCTGGGCACATCCCTTCCCCCTTCTGAATCAGCCTCCTGGTCTGCCAGGCGAGCATGCTGCTCCGTTAGGGATCCTATCTTCATCCTACTTACGGGGCACCAGTGACGGTGTACTGCTTGACCCTCCCGGCAGCAGAGGGAAGTAAAGGCCACCATGAGAGGCTAACTCCAAGCACAGCAGAGAGGAGGAGGGGGAACTGCCCAGAAAGGCCTCCTGCCGGCTCCGCCCCTGAAACGGAGGGTTCTGGATGTTTCCTCTCCCTGACATGCAGGTTATGCGAGATGTGTGCAGGGTGACATTCAGTAGTTGAAAACACTGTGGTCCCGCCTGCGAGACAACACTTCTTTTAAAACTGAAATTCAGATATCCGGATATTCTGAAACAATTTCTTAAACCAAAAGGTCACCTCGCACAGCAAGAGAATTAAGGCGGTTTCTAGCCTGAGACTGAGGCCACACGAACAGGGGCGTACACACCTCATCCTCCTGCGCTGGAGGGACAGACAAAACACGGGGCAGGGGGCATGAAGGGACAGAGGGGGCAGGAGGCAAAGGCCGGCGCGCCCCTTCACATTAGCTCCCTTTCCCCATGAGGGGAAGCCCGGACCTGAGAAGAGAGCCCGAATGATTCAGAGGACGCGGAGCAGCAGTGTGCGGGGGGCGGGGGGGCCATGAGGGAGAAATACTAGAGAAAACAAGTAATTTAGAGACTGAGGCAAACCAGGGGAAGACTCCACCGGCAGGGAATGCGTAGGGGCAGGTGCACGGGGAAGGGGGCGCAGCCTGCTGGGGGGCGTCGGGGGGCGCGGCCTGGTGGGGGGCGCCGGGGGCGGAATCCAGGAAGAGCGCCGGGGGGGCGGGGAGGGGGCGCGGCCCGCTGGGGGGGACGCCGGGGTGGGGTGGGTCCTGGGGGCCGCGACCTGCTTGGGGGGCATCGGGGGGGCGCGGCCTGGTGGGGGGGCGCCGGGGGGGAGGGGGCGCGGCCCGCTGGGGGGGACGCCGGGGCGGGGGTGGGTCCTGGGGGCCGCGACCCGCTTGGGGGGCGTCGGGGGTGCGCGGCCTGGTGGGGGGGCGCCGGGGGGGGAGGGGGCGCGGCCCGCTGGGGGGGACGCCGGGGCGGGGTGGGTCCTGGGGGCCGCCACCTGCTTGGGGGGCGTCGGGGTCCTGGGGGCGCGGCCTGCTGGGGGGAGACGCCGGGGGCGGGGTGGGTCCTGGGGGCCGCGACCTGCTTGGGGGGCGTCGGGGGGGCGCGGCCTGGTGGGGGGCGCCGGGGGCGGGAATCCAGGAAGAGCGCCGGGATGGCGGGGAGGGGGCGCGGCCCGCTGGGGGGGACGCCGGGGCGGGGTGGGTCCTGGGGGCCGCGGCCTGCTTGGGGGGCGTCGGGGCGGGGGTGGGTCCTGGGGGCCGCGACCCGCTTGGGGGGCGTCGGGGGAGCGCGGCCTGGTGGGGGGGTGCCGGGGGCGGGAATCCAGGAAGAGCGCCGGGGGGGCGGGGAGGGGGCGCGGCCCGCTGGGGGGGACGCCGGGGCGGGGTGGGTCCTGGGGGCCGCGACCTGCTTGGGGGGCGGCGGGGGGGCGCGGCCCGCTGGGGGGGACGCCGGGGCGGGGTGGGTCCTGGGGGCCGCCACCTGCTTGGGGGCGTCGGGGTCCTGGGGGCGCGGCCCGCTGGGGGGAGACGCCGGGGGCGGGAATCCGGGAGGGGCGCCGGAGCGGGGGGTCCGGGGAGGGGCGTCGGCGGGCCCGGTTCCGCCCACAGCGCAGCTGCGGGGCCTCCACGGGAACCCCGGGGCCAGGAGACGAGGGCCGGCGTCTTTTGAAAGCGCTTCCCTCCCGGAGCCCACGTCTGGGGGCAGAAGCTCGGCCCGGGGCAAACGCACACACCGGAAAGGGAAAAAGGAAAGCCGCGCAAGTCCCCGTCCGGCAGGTCCCGGGGCGGGGACCCGGCGACCGACGCTCTCCGCCGGCGAGGCCCCGAGGGTCTGCGAGCGGCGGCGCGGCCAGGCGCGGCGGCGGCGGCGGGGCTGGGACGGGAGGAGCCTCCGCCCGGGAAAGCACACACCGCGCGGCGCCCGCCCCCGGCCCGGCCCCCACTCACCTGCGGACCCGGCCGCAGCCGCAGCCGCGCCGGAAGTGCCCCGCTCTCCCCGCCGCCGGCCCGCGCCCGGCCGCCTTCCCCGGGCCACTTCCGGGACGCTCTAGGCAGCCGGGAGGACTGACTCGGCCTCTCGGTGGCCTTGCGGGTGGCCGAGCGCCGCGGCGGCGCGGGGCGGCGGGGCCCCCCCGGTGCACCTGCCGGCGGGGCGCACCCGCCCGGGCGTCGCGTCCTTGTGTGCGTGGAGCCCTGTGCTGAAGGACTCGGGGCTCTTGCAGTCCCGAGCCAGGGTTGGCGGGAGCGCGGTGATGGGGCCGCTCGCGTTAGCGAAATGCAGCGGCCAGCGTGGTTTTCTTCCCACTGGGCCTCTGACTCCGCCGGCGCCTCATCCACACCTGATGTGCGGGGTTTGGATGTTGCCGTGTGAGGCTTTAGAGCTGGTGAGACTTGCAAGGGACCTGATGCTGGACAGATGGGAGTCTTTGGAGACCAGAGTCCAGCCCTGGCGGCTGAAGAGTGCCCCCCCCACGCCCACACCCCCATCCCCAGAACCTAGAGATACGTGACCTCAGGTGGCAACAGGGGCTTTGCAGATGTGATGAAGATTCTTGAGATGGAGAGATCATGCTAATGGGGGGGGGCAGTGTAATCACGGGGTCTTAGTAGGAGGGAGGGAGGAGGGTCAGGGAAGACGACATAACCACAGGAGAAGAGGGAGAAAAGGAAATGTGACCAGAGATACGGGTCGGAGTGTGTGCTTTGTAGGCAGAGGAGGAGTGCGCATTCTTTCCTGGAGGCTCCTTCTTTCCTGCAGAAGGAACCAGCACTGCTGACCCCATGTGTGTCACTTTTGGCCACCAAGTGTCTACTTACTTGTTACATAGCCACGGGGGACTAAGACAGACTTCCGTCACTCCTTCCCACTCCATTCACTTTCTTCCCGGGCTCCCAGGGTGCTACCACCCCAGGCCCTCCTTCCACGCAGCCCCCTGAGGGTTCCTGACTGCCTGGGCTCACTCCTTGGCTCTCCCCTCTCTAGCCACACCCACTCCCTGGGTGATCTCGTCTCTGGGCAATACCAGCACCGGCCGGTCCTGCCAGGACCCCTCTCGGGAACTCTTCCCAGCATCTCCATGTGCAGCACCTCACGCCCTGCATTTCTAGGCCTGAGCTCAGGACACCGCCCAGCCTTGCCCCATCCGCGCACTCCCCATCTCTTTTTTTTTTTTTAAGATTTATTTATTTATTTGAGAGAGCGAGAATGAGAGAGAGAGTACATGAGAGGGAGGAGGGTTAGAGGGAGAAGCAGGCTCCTCACCGAGCAGGGAGCCCGATGCGGGACTCGATCCAGGGACTCCAGGATCATGACCTGAGCCGAAGGCAGTCGCTTAACCAACTGAGCCACCCAGGCCCCCAGCGCACTCCCCATCTCAGTGAGTGGCACTGTCATCTTCGCATTCACTCGGGCCAAAAATTCAGTCATGCTTAACTCGAGCTGTGCCTTGCGCCCTGATTGACCAGGAGCTCTGCCCAGCTCTGCCCTCCCCATCCGCGCCTCATCTGATCTCCTCACGCCCACAGCTGCTCTCTCCCTGGCCCAAGTCCCCCTGGCCTCCTTGCTTCTGTCTTTGCCCCCACAGCAGCCACCTACTACTGCATGATGAAGCACCCCCAAACTCAGTGGCTTGAGACTAACCACCTTGCTGCACGTGGTTCTGTGGGTCAAGAATTTGGAGGTGCTAGAAGCAGATGTGTTTCACAGAGGAGAAAATTGGGGCCACTGAGCATAACTCGAGGGGGACTGAGCAGGGTCTCTGGGGGCAGCCAGGTGACCCCCCCAGGAAGGCTGGCTCCATCCCTGTGGGTGACACTCTGCTGCCACCTCATGGACATGGGATCGCATGCACCTCCCCAAATCGGCATGGGGCTGGCAGGGGCCTGGGGTTTGACCCCCAAGATGCATGGGGTTCCCCCAGATGCTCCCATCATCACTCCGGGACCCTTGGGCCGCATCCCCAGGGCTGAGCCCACACTGATAGAGAAGAAAGGGTCAGAAAGAGGAGGAGAAGAAAGATGTGGTGTCTCCTGAGGACTCCCCTCTCCCTATCACCCCCCATGCACAGGACCGAGTCTCCAGACCACACCTGCTCACCACGATAGCCTCCCCATCCCTGTTCACAGCTAGAGTGGCCTTGAGAGCGTCATTCTGAGCAGCTCACCCCCCGCCCCACCCCTGGCATCCCAGTGGGCTCCACAGAAAGGTCCCCAGCAGGCCACACCACAACTGGCTCTCCCTGCCCCCTCCAGGCCCGTCACAGGAGCCCCTTCTGGGCATGTTGTGCCTCAGCCTGCAGGCCTCCACCTGGAGGCAGGCCTGGATGCAGCAGAACCACTCACCCGGATCCTGGAGGCCTCAGGTGGGGAAACATCACCAGTCAGTCCCCAGCGCAGGGGCCTTGGGGTGACAAGTCTCTCACAGCAAAGAGGGGGCTTTGGCTCCAGGCTGGGGGTGCTTGTGAATTCCACACCGTCTGGCAGAGGGGTGGCGCTGCCTGAGTGGGCCGGGTCTCCTGGGTTCCCTGACCTCACTCCAGGAGGGAGGAGAGAGGGACAGATCTGAGAGGCACCGGAGGAGGAGGGACCCAGCAGGGGGCTGGAACGGAGGAGGGGTCGGGTGTGGGGCAGAGCCTCCTAGTACATAGGACACCTTTGTGAGGACCAGGAAGAGGCCCCGCCTCTGGGGAGCGAGGCCCTTCACAGAATCAGAGATGATCGGGCACCCAGGCTGGTGGTGGGCCGTGGGAGCTTGGCCGTGGTGGACCGGGGGTGAGAAGCAGGCTCCCAGGGCCCGTCATGGGACTCAGTGCCCCCAATACCCACAAGCACGCACACACACACACACACGCAGAGCTTGCAAGATGCCTGAATTTCAAGAGCCCAAAATGGGAGGCCGGGCGCTGAGCGTGCTTTCCCCGGTTGTCAGTGGTCTGGCAGCATGTGGATGACCCTCTCGATTTTACGAATGCATTTTTCTAAAGGAAAAGGTCTACAGAAGTGGAAGGTGAAATCAGTGGTGGTTTTGTATGGAACCTACCATCTTTATTTTTAAAATTAATTCTGCCTAAAATAAAAGATTCATCCAGAACTGGTGTCCATTCACATAGCAGCCCTGGGAGGTCATGGTCTGTTGGCAAGGACCCTGCACGAGGTGGGGTCAGCAATCCTGCCTCCTCCCAGGGCCTGGCCCTGCTGCTGGTCCCATCAGCCCCGGCTTTCTGCTTTCCGTCCTGGCGAGAAGGGAAATGTGAGCAGGCAGGATCTCCAGGGAACCCAACGGGTTGGGCAGGTAGGTGGAGAGATGAGCGAGAACAGGAAAATCTGGAGCCCCAGAAGGTGACCTCCAAAGCAGAGGCGAGGAAGGGCGATAAGGGTGAGTCATACCAAAGCCCCACCCTGACCCCGTCCGCTGCAGGGAGGGACTGCAGGGACTCATGCCCCTTAGTGACAGACCTTCCCGGAAAGTGGGACAGCCAGAGGATCCAGGCTTAGTCTAGGCTGAGGGGCTGTATTCAGGATGTGCCCAAAGCATGGGTAATGGGACAAGACACAGTCAGTGACCGGGGCCAGGTCCTCTGGGTGACCGGGGTCAGGGCTCGTTTGGTGAGCAGAGTCAGGGCTCAGACTGTGACCCTAGTGAGGGCTTAGTTTTGGACTGAGGTCAGAGATCAGCCTGTGTCGGGGTCTAGGGCATTGTGGCCATGGGCTTCAGGATTTCAGCTATGGCTTATAGGCCATGAGCTCAGTCAGCTCGGGCCGCTGTAACAAGTGACTACAGACCGGGTGACATAAACAACAGAGACTGATTTCTCACAGCTCTGGAGGCTGGAAGTCTGAGACCGGGGTGCCGGCAGGGCGGGCCTGGCGAGGACCCACGTCCTGGACTGCAGACGGCCCCCTTCTCGCTGTGTTCTCACCTGGTGGGGGGAGCTCTGGTGTCTGATCTTATCAGGGCACAAACTCCATCGTGGGGGCCCCACCCTCATGACCTCATCTGAACCTAATCACCTCCCAACGGCCCCACCTCCAAATACATCACACTGGGGCTTCAACATAGGAATTGGGGGAGACACGATTCAGACCATAGCATTTTTGCCCCTGGCCCCCCAAATTTATGTCCTTCCCTGTTTGGTCTACTTCTCCACCTTCCGTCCTCAGTGGGACAGCAGTCTCGTCCCCGTGGCTCTGGGTGGGCCTCCTCCCCCTGCGGTTCTGTTCACATCAAGCTGGATGTGTCTCTGTCGTGGGCGCGTCCTGTGCAGGATGCTGAGCGGCATTCTTGGCCTGCACCCACTGGAAGGCAGTAGCAGCCCCCTGATGGGACAACTGACAATGTCCTCAGGCATTGCCAAATGTCCCCTGGGGCCCAGAAGCCCCCTGCTTGAGAACCACTGCTTTAGAGTAATCACCTCAAATCAGATTAACAAATATTTATGCACCTGTCAATATTTGAGGAATGAATGTTCCAGGCTGGTGTTAGGTGCTGGGTGCCTTGAATAAAAAGGCAGATAAGAAAGGCTCCAGTCCAGGGCACCCCCAGTCCCAGTGAGCTGGGCATGGGCCGACAGGCAGACAGCCATACACTGAAACGGTGAAGTCACAAACATCTTACCACGAGGCACCTGAGCCGATGGGACCGGGGACTGTGGGCTGGAGTGGGGGTGTTCAGGGAGAAAGTTCTGAGCGGGCAGAGTAGACCAGAAAGGCAGCTGGTGGAGGGACCACATTCACCTCCCCCCCCCCATGTGACCTTGAGCAAGGTCCTGTCTCTCTCTGGGCCCCAGGCTCCTCATCTGCCAAAGGAGAGACGCCCTCCACAGGAAAGGGCCCAAACTGGTGGGTGCCAGGGGGCCGTGCAGGAAAGACCCCAGAGGTGTGGCAAATCCCAGGGAGCTCTGGGTCTCACCCCTAGCCCACATCACCGTGTTATCTTGATCCAGGACTCAGGGTGAGAGGGTGGAAGCTGCCCCCCACCAGGGGCGTCGTTCTGCTCCCCCCACTGCCCAGGAGAGCTGGGAGATGGAGCCCATTTCCCCAGCGAGGGCCTTGCCAGCAACATGCACTCGGCCCTGCCCAGGGGGACGAGGTCAGATGCCAAAGTGAGGTCAGAGGTGCCATCCCAGGGCCAGGCGAGCATCGGGAAGTGAAAGGTGCTCTCTCCACCCCTGGGAGGGGCCTGTCCCCTCCCCAGACACATGGGGTCAGCAGGCGGTGGACGTGGCCTGTACCTGCCAGCACCCAGCTGGACACTCCAAGGAGTCATGGGGAGACTGTTTACAAAGGGAGGGTCACGCTTAGAGGGACAATGGGGAGCATGAATGGGCCCCAGGCCAAGAGCAACAGGAAGCCCCTGGGCCCCGGGGCTTGGAGGGGTGAGGGGAAGGGACTGTTACCCCAGGCTGGTTGAGGCTGGTGGGAAGGAAGGAGGCTGGCCCCCAGGACACGGCCACGCATGGCCACTGCAGCCTCGCTGTTGGGGCACAGCAGAAGAGATGGCCCAGCCTCTGCACCTCTCACCCTCAGGTCTCCAGCCAGTGGAAGCCCTTTGGGATCCTCATGGGATCCCAGGACACAAACAGGGTGGAGAGTGGGTCTGGGCTGCAGACGACGTCCAGCACGGTGCCGACCCCCTTCCACCTCCTCCTATAGAGGCTGCTAATGCTTTGTTTCCCAGACTCCCTTGCAGCTAAAGCTCCATGGTGTGTGGGGATTAAGGAAGGTCACGAGGGCTAAGCCTGCACCCAGCGTGCACACATTTCGATGCACCACACCTGTGTACTTGGGCTGTGCCAGCCCCCCTCTGGCCTCCAGGGCACTTCCCAGAATGGTCTCCCCCTGCCCCCCCACCGAGGCACCTCTCGTGTGTGGCCATTCAAGGCCTGTTGCCCCTGGGGGACCAGGAGCCCTGGGAGCAGAGCAGGGCCCAAGGGAGGCTGGCCCTCAACCTTGCCCCCCCCCCCACTCACAATTGTCTGCCCTCACTGCTCACTGTGGCACCTCAGCACCTCGCCCTGGGGTGGCTAAGAAATGGCCCCTGCCCTGGGCAGGCCCTGCCTTCTGGAAGCAGACAGAAAGACAAAGGGAGTGGCTGGGAGCGGCCTGGCAGGGCGGCCGGAGATTGGGATCTACCTGCCCCGGAGTACTTGCTGGCCCCGGGGAACCCGTCCCTGTTGACAGTGGGCGGCGGAGCCTCCCCCTTGCCAGCCAAAGCAGTATAAAGCCACCCTGAGTCCAGCCCACCGCCGCCCACTGGTGACCATGAAGGCTGTCCTCCTCACCCTGCTGGCCATCGGTTTGGCCCTGCGGCCAGGTGAGACCTCCGCCACCATGGGGCAGGGCCACGGGAACAGGGCTGGGGGGATAATCAGGGGAGACCAGAGGGGCACTCAGAGAGGGGCCCACCCAGAAGGACAGACAGAGGAGGTGGAGGTGGGGGCGGGGGGAGGGAGTCAGGTGGGAGGTAAGAGAGGCAGCGGCAGGAAGAAGGGGCTTTGGTCCTTGCCCGTGTCACCCCGGGGCAGCTCCCGGTGCAGCCAGGGTGCAGCAAGGCCTCACCCAGAGGCAGGCGGCCAGGACGGCGTTCTCCTTTACCACCGTGGCGCAGGGCCTGGCTCCTGGAGCGCCACCAGCGGAGGGATGCACGGGGAGCCTGCAGGGTTGGGGGAGGCACAGGGACAAAAAGCCTCAAGGTAAGAAGTGCCATGGAGGCAAGGAGGGCAGAATGAAAGGGGGGAGCCTGGGGGTGTCCTGAGACCACCTGGGGCCTCTTCCCAGGCCCAGCCCTGGGGTCCGCTGTGGGCAGCAAGGACAGCAGATACCCAGGCTGGGGTCCCGGGGGAAAGGTGCAGGCCTCAGCTGCTCTAGTCTGCACTCCAAGCCCAGCTCGGTCTCACTAAGTCTCTTAGAGCCTCAGCTTCCTCTTCTGGAAAGTGGGGGTCATGACAATGGCTGCTGGGAGTCAGCTAGTGTGTGTGGTGACCGAGCATGGGACTAGCAGCATGGGGCCTGCTTATGCTTGGGTGACTTTATCCCATCCCATCATTGTTTTGACCGGAAGGGACCTTATCATGCCAGCTGGGGCCATTACCCCCGGGGACAGAACAGGGCCTGGCCAGGGGCCCACACAGGGTCTCCTGGCACTGGGGAGGCCTGAGTGGGGCTGGGAGGCTGGGTCGGGCTTGCACAGGCTTTTAGAGACAGTAATGGAAGGGCCTCGATGCCTGGTGGCAGGAGCAATTCTGGGAAGGGTCCTGTCCACCCTGCCCTCACCTGCCCAGTGCCCGGCTGGGCCGCCTGCCAAGCGGGGGGAACCAGTTTGCAGTCACTCCCTTCTGTCTCAGACCACGGGCATTTCACAGAGGGGTGAGTTGGGGCACTAACCATGGGTTCCAGGGGCCGTGGCAGCAGGTGGGCAGAGAAGCGTTCCTGGTGGACTTTGATGAGTGGAGTGCCCTCCCTGGGCACTAGTGCTTCCCACTAACGGGGGTCCCAGTTTGCAGTGGGCTCTTGTGCTCTTGCACACTCCCAGCAACCTGGAAGCTGTGACAGATGAGAAAAGGAGGCTGCTTCCCCACTCTGAGCACCCCCACCCCCCAGGCACCGCCCTGCAGTGCTTCTCCTGCAAGGCCCGGGCGAGCAACCACGATTGCCAGTATGTGCGGAACTGCACTGACTCTGAGACCTACTGCTGGACCAAGCACATCCGTGAGTAGCCCTGCCGTCCCCACAGGCCTCCCCCTGATCCTGCCCAGATTCCCCCAGGGCTGGGTGGGGCTCTGTCCTGCCTCTTGCCATTCCCTTTGACTCCCTGCACCTTCCCACCCCCTGGTAGGGACTCAAAGAACCTTCTGTCCACCTGCCCACTTGTTCATCTATCCACCCACAGATACAGGTGCTCAGCTTCCCATCCATTCATCCCCCCACCCATCCTTTGTCCATCTGTCCATCCATCCCCCCTCCATCACTCATCCATCCATCCATCCATCCCCCCTTCATCACTCATTCATCCATCCATCCATCCCCCTTCATCACTCATCCATCCACCCATCCATCCATCATCTCCCTCCATCATTCATCCATCCATCCATCCACCCATCCATCCACCCATCCATCCCCCCTTCATCACTCATCCATCCACCCATCCATCCATCATCCCCCTCCATCACTCATCCATCCACCCATCCATCCATCATCTCCCTCCATCATTCATCCATCCATCCATCCATCCACCCATCCATCCCCCCTCCATCACTCATCCATCCATCCACCCATCCATCCCCCCTTCATCACTCATCCATCCATCCATCCACCCATCCATCCCCCCTCCATCACTCATCCATCCATCCACCCATCCATCCCCCCTCCATCACTCATCCATCCATCCACCCATCCATCATCACCCTCCATCATCCATCCATCCATCCATCCATCCATCATCTCCCCTCCATCACTCATCCACCCACCCATCCATCAGTCATTCATCCATCCCTGCCTTCACCCATTCATTAGGCATTTTCAGTGCCCAGCAGAAGATCTGGCTGCCTTGGGCATGTGGACGGATGTGGATGAGCCCCTGCACTTGCCCTGACACTGCAGTCTTGAGGTCGTCACCCAGGGTGACTATAGAGTGCTAGTTAGGGCACAGGAAGAGGGTCATGGGAGCAGGGACAAGGCCAGTGGGTGAGTATCCAGGACCCAGCCCCAGCTGAGCGTCCCAACCCCCAGGTGCTGTTGGCAACGTGACGACCATTAGCAAGGGCTGCAGCTCACACTGTGTGGAGGACTCGCAGAGCTACTCCATGGGCAAGAAGAACATCACGTGTTGCTCCACTGACCTGTGCAACGCCAACGGGGCCCATGCCCTGCAGCCAGCTGCTGTCACCCTTGCACTGCTCACCGCTTTCGGTGGCCTGCTGCTCTGGGGCCCCAGCAGGCTGTAGGATCCGGGAGGACCCCACTGTGCCCCACACGGGCTGTCAGTGCCCAGGGGCCCCGGAGCACTCTTCGCACACGCCTGGCCCAGTTGAGGCCCCTCCTAGACCCTAACTCAGGTGGCCCATGCCCCTCTGCCCCTTCCAGCCTTCCATGGCTCCCTCCAGAAGCCCTGCCCAGCTCCTACTGCTCAGCAGGCTGGGTTCTATTGATGCGGCACTGTTCCAAGTCGATAGAACCCAGCCTGCACGCAGGCCATCCAACCCCCATGTTGCAGCCTACTCCTTAACCCTTGCTCGGGCATCTCTTCCTCCAGGAAGCCTTCCCTGCCCCACCCCCTCCATCAGCTGAGCCATGTTCCACCCATGGTGTCCCCTGCAACCAGCAAGGAGCAGGCACTCAGGAGGGCCCCACAAAGGCTGAGTAGAATTAGGGGCAGGGAGTGTGAGGTCCCACGGGCCCAGAGATGAGGCGTGGAGAGGAGTCCAGCTCCCCACGGCCATGGGAGTCCTGGGGCAGGAATCCCAGCACTCAGGAGGCCCTTAATAAAGTCCCCCTGACCTGGTGGCAGAGAGTTCTGTTCTTGCGTGTCCCCACATGAAAGTCAGGGCTTGGGTCCGGGGCTGTCGTGGGTGGCCACCCGGCCCCGTGTCCATGGGCTGTGGCCACGTCATCGGCCAACCACATGGGATGGAGCTCCGGCCTGGGCAGGAGCAAATGACCGACCCCTGGAAGGGAGGGCCTTGCTGCAGAAGGTGGCAGCCCCCCTGAGGACTCCCGGCTTTGCTGTGCGCCTCACTCCTGTCTTTCGACCTCTCTGAGCCTCAGATACTTATCTGTGGCCCCTCTCTGCTGTGAGGATTGAGGATCCACAGGACACAGAAGCTCCTGGGTGGGAGGGGATGCTACTGTGTGAGGTCCCCACAGTGTCCCCTCCTTGTCCTTCCCTTTCACTTGAGGAGAGCCCCTCTGTCACTTTCTTGAATTTTTTGTCTCTTGTAAGTTCTCCACATCCACAGTGAAAAATTCAAACTAGGCAGAAGGGTCCCCAGCAGACCGGCCTCCCCTGTCCCCTGACCGCCTGTCCCTCCCCACTCTAGGGAGCCCTATCACACCTCTTGGGGCTCCTTTCAGAGTGCTTGTGTACCTGGGGCCCACACCTTGCCTTTGGAATTCCTGGAAAGCCTCTCGGAAAACTCAGCCTGCCTCCCTGTCCCTTCAGGGGCCCCCCCCAGGCTGAGGTAAGGGCAGCCTGTGCGGGTGGGGCGGCCATGTGGGGGGGCAGCATGTGAGCTGGGGGGCAGGGCGTGTGAGCGGGGGCCGTGTGAGTGGGGGCAGTGGGGCCATGTGAGCAGCGGGCCAGGGCAGGAACCCGCACGGGATGGTGCTTCCAAGACACGTACCAAGCGGTGTGTAAGGCAGCATTAAACCTGGGCTCTGGAGCTCTGAGCTGGGGGTGGGGCAGGGTCACACTGACCAGTAAGTCCGGGCCAGAGGCCCAGAGTCTCCCTTTGCGTGTCCTCAGGCGGGACACTGGGTCCCAGGGTCACCACATCAGAAGGGTAGAGTTCCCCACCCTGAGTGCTGATTCTCCCCACTCCCTTCCCAGTCCACGTGCCTGGCTCCTGCGGAGGAGCTGTGGGCTCCGGCCCCTCCCACGATGCCCCTCTGGGGCCCAAGCCACACTCAGCACACAGACCTGGCCTGGCTCCAGTCCAGGGTCCAGGGTTCAGGGCTGGGTCTTTGTTTCCTGGGAGGGCACCCCAGAACTGGGCAGTCCTGAGCAGAGCATTACGCCCATCAGGGTCTGGGCTGGGCTGGAGCTTGGAGATTGAGGACTGGTGGGCACTCAGGACTGGGCTTCTGGTGGTACTTTGTGCCCTGAAGCTGCGGGGCCCAGGCTCATCGACCTGCCCAGGTGACCATAGAGGACACCGGGGACATCTGCCCAGAACAGACACCTACCATGTTCCAGGCGCTGTTCCAGGCACACCAGAAACAGCAGTGGCCCGGGCTTGGATGGATTCTCCCCGACCTATCTTGATGCCCTAGAGCCACCCCAGGTCACGGAGCTTACAGGACAATGGGGTTGGGTGAACAGGATAAATACAAAAATATGTAGCATGTTAGCAGGAGAAGCTTGAAGAAGAATAAAGCACAGAGAGAGGATCACAAACACCGATGTGGCTGGGAAGGCCTCTGTGGGGCCTGGAAGTCCAGAGGGACAGGCCACACAGTCCACTGAGCAGGGCAGGGAGCCCACAGTGGCCCACACATCAGCCACACCCTTGGGCAAGGGTCCTCCTCCCTGGGGCTGAGGCTCAGGGCGGTGAGGCGGTGCCCCAGACCCCCATACCCTGTCCTGGGCTCCTGGGTTTGAAATATTTGGGCCAGGGTGAGGGGAGACGCAGGCAGGCCCTGTGATGTGAGAGGCCCAGCTGGGTTCTCTATGTCCCGGAACCAGGGGATCCTCTGACCTCCTGAGCTGTCCCCAAGTTCATGCAGCCTCAGGCTGAGAGCCTGAGGGGGCCAGCCTTCTCCCCTCCCCCCCCCCACAACAGAAGGAGGGGCAAGAGCCCCTCCCGACACACAGCACACTGGGGCAGTGGTCCTCCAGGACCGAGGGCCGATGGGGGCTCCTCCTCTCGGGGTGGGGACAGCAGGGAGGCCACCTGAAGGAGCAGCCCACTGGCCCAAGGCAGGGTCTGGATGGGACCCTAATCTCCCTCTCCCCTCACCATCCCGTCTTTTACTACAGAAAGGCAAGGAAGAAGAGAGTGCGGGACTCAGATCCCCGCACCCTAGACTAGCGTCTGTCACCGTCTGCACCATCTGCGGGACACTTCCTGTGCAAGCACACGCAGGTGCACGCCGTGAATGTGCACACCTGGGCCACGGTACACACGCTCCCCAGCAAACTGCTTTCTAAACACAGATCTTTCCATAGCCAGGAATAGAGACCCTCACGGTTCTATCCAGGCGCTGAGGTGTTCCCCTGGACAGACGGACTTGTGTTCGTTTTTAAGATGCCATTTCCCAAGCATTTTCCATGCTGGGGACACTGTCTGAACATTTTGCACATTTTGCCACAGGCCAAGTGCTCTCCCATGGGCCTCCGTGCCATCACTCATCGATGCTTCCCCACCATCCGGCGAGGCCGGGCTGTACAGGGAAAAAACCAAGGCACAGAGAAGTGAAGGAACTGACCCAAGGCCATACAGCTGGCTCCTCACTATCCTCCCCTGCGTGCGTGTTCACCCCAAATCAGGCCTCCAGCGGCATCCCTGAGTGGGCATCTCTGGCCCTGGCACCGGGCCCAGCCTCAGGCTGGAGGTGGTCTGGTGCTGTCCTCCCCCTGGGGACTCTGGCTCAGCCAGACCATCTGTCCCTGGGCCTATCTGCCGGCCACTCCAGGGCTGGGATGGATGCGCCTCCCCCTCCCCCCCTCCGCCCAGGTTGGTGAGGTCTTCATCCGTGACCACTCTACCACTCGGGTGTTTATAAAGAGTGCCCTGCCCACGTGACCCAGGACTGGGCAGACAGATCACAGTGTTGGTCAGCAGCCTGGGCCGTGCTCTGTTAAGTGTCACTCCTCCCTGGCTGGACTTGGGGTGCAGTGGGGAGGGCTGCTGGGGTGGGGGCAGGGCAGCTGCCTGAGGGGTGACACGTCAGACCCTCTGCAGGAGGGGAGGGGGGGTTGGGCAAAGAGTTTAATCCTCCTCTGCCTCCAGAGGCTCCATCTTTGTCATGTGGCTCCCAGCCCCTCCTCCCTCTTAGCCTCTCTCTCTGCGCCTCCCATCTCTCCCTGCCCCCGAACCTCCCTGCGGCAGGGGCCCACCTACCTCCTTGGGGCTTCTCTCCTTCCTCTCCTGAGCCCATACACGGGGAACACAGCTGCAGCAAGAAGGAAGCAAGCTAGACAGGAAGGAGCCCTGGGTCCCTGGCTGGGGCAGGGCAGGGGCGGGGCAGGGCAGGCCCTACCGGGGCCTTGGGGCCTGGCGTCACTCACCAGTGCCAGAGAGGCTCCGCACCGTGCCCAAGTCCCCATGGCTGCAGGGCACAGAGCCGGGACCCCATCTGCCCACTCCACAAAGGCAATGGGGGCAGGGGCGGCCCCGGCCAGTGGCCCTCCTGTGCCAGGCCCGGCTCTGCTCTGCCACAGAAGCCCTGAGCCCATGAGGTGGCCGGCTGCCTGGACGTCACCACGTGCCCACGGACACACGGCCTGCCTCACTGTGGAGCACTCCGGCCCCCAGCCCAGGCGTACGCACACAGCAGGCAGGCGACCCCTCAGGGAGCAAGAGGCTGAGTGTCCCCGGAGTGCATCTGGGGAAACCAAGGCACGGCGGGTTCCCTCCCCAGACTTGCAGCAGAGCCACCATCAGCTATAGCGACCTCTCCCTGTTTATGGCCCTGAGGTGCCAGTGGGCTGGGGGCCGGCCCCGGCTGGAGCCACATACAAACGGGTCTGGGCCGTCTCAACCCCTGCTTCGCCTCGCCCGCGGTCTACTCCTTCAGTGTGACAGTTACCAAGGCGGGCGAGCCTTCGACCCCGACAGGTGGGGCCAAAAGCTCGGGAAGAGCGGCGGCCTGGGATGGGCCGGCCTGGGAGGTGGCGGGAAGGGGCCGGGGGAAGGGGGTGGCGCTCCAGCGGCTGGCACCGCTGCTCCTGTTCTGCTGGGTGGCGCCACGAGCCCGCGCGCCTCCTCTCCCCCTGGAGCCCCGAACCCAGGCGGCAGTCACTAGTACTTAGGCTGCGGGGCTGTGGGTGCCGGCGACACCAGGCACTCTACCCAGACAGGACTATCCTTGAGGAATGAAGGGGGCCCAGGAGTACCTCTCCAAACTCCTCCACCCTGCGCGGCTCCTGGGGCTCAGATACTTCAAGCCAGAGCAGAGGGAGGGGGTTCCAGATAGGACGCCCAAGAGTCCCTGACCTGACTGGGACCCCTCATCATCTGCCGATGACCACCCCAGGGTGCCCCGCGTCTGCTGTGGGGGGACTGATGCAGCCGGACGGTGGGCAGCTGATTGGTTCCTGTGGCCTTCCCGGGTCTGGGGCACCTGGCTGGGCACTGTCGTGCCAGCCCTGGGTTTGAGCCATCAGAGAGGCAGATGAGGCCCTACCCGGCCTCCTGGCCTCAGGGTCCAGCAAGGAGATGGCACTCCCTGCTCACATGATCGAACCCGTGTAAAAGCATGGTGAGACCGGGGCCCTGGGAATCTCAACGGTCCAGGGATCCGGGAGGGGAAAGATGGGAGGGGGGAGTCCCTGGCAGAGAGAACAGCACCTGCAGTGTGTGTCCGGTGGGGGGCTCAACGTGGGTGGCAGAAACTCAAAAGGAAGCTGGGCAGATGGAGCCCAGGCTATGAGGATGGAGGCAGGGCTCTTGTGAGCCCCCCAATCCCCATTTTATCATTTACCAACCTTCACTGACATCTCCAGAACAGGCCTCTAGACGCAGCCCCTCCCGCGTGGGGAAGAGACAAGGTGAGTTCACAGAGCAGCTGCCGAGGGGGCTCAAGGGGCACTGTCATCCCAAGAAACTGCCCCATTTCAGGGACAGGGCAAGCATGACAGGGACAAGTGTGAGCAGGTTCCTAGGGCAGCTGGGCCTGCCCTGATAGAGAATGAACTTCCTGTCCCTGGGAGTATCCAAGCAGATCCAAGGACTCAGGAAAACCCAGATCCCATTCTGCCCAACTACTGGCCCCAGAAGCAAAGCCAGAAAAGCAAAGAACGTGTTGCAGGGAAGGGACAGGACGCTGGAGTGCGGGCTGCAGGCTGCTGGGTCCACATCGCACGTGCTTGCGACACCCGTGAGTCCTTTACATTTGCGACTCCTCTCCTCCATCCCTGGCGTTATTTGCTCCCTTTGCAAAAGGGCCAAGGTTGGGAACGCTTGGGAATGAGTCTGAGATTACCGGGACCCGGGGGTGGGGTTAATGAGGTTACAAGCTGGAACTGAAAAAGCCACAGGGGCCAGACCGTGATGCACCTTGAATCCACCGCAGAGGCACGGGCGCGGTCGCCCTGCCGGGGTGGGGTGCCCCCGGATGTTCTGGAGCATCGGAGGGTCGATTTCCAGCGGAGTCTTGAGGCAGTGCCGCTGGGGACGGCTGCGTCCGTTTCTCTTGCAAAGCCCTGCCACCGGGGCCGGGAGGGGCGGGAGCCTCTGATTCTGCTCCGATCAGTGGCCAAATCTCCCAGGCCAGGCCGAGTCTTCAAGGGCTGGGAGAGGCAGCAGGGGTCCGGGCTCCCACCCAGGCGGGGGTGAAGGGTGGGGGGAGACCAGGCGGAGCCTCCCGGACGCTTCCGCGCCTGCACTGCGGAGCGCAACCGCCAGATGGCGCTGTGGCGCGGCGCCAGGCGGAAGGGACAGCGGGGCGGGCCGCGGGCGGACGTGGGGGGGGACGGACCACTGAGGGCGCCGGGGGGGGGCGCCGGCGCGGGGGGGGCGGGGCCCGGCCTGCGGCGCCGGCGGCGTCCGGCGCGTCCCTCCCCAGCCCGCCTCGCGAGGTGGTTCGCTCCGGCGGCGCGGCGCTCCCGGCGGGCGGGCAGGCGGGGCGCGGGCGCCGGCACCGCCGAGACCAGCGCCGTGGGCTCCCGCGCCGCGCCCCGCGCCCCGCGCCGCGCGCCCGCCGCCGAGATGCTGGGGCTGCTCGTGGCGTCGCTGGTCGTGGCGCTCGCCTACTTCGCGCTGCTGGACGGTTGGTACCTGGTGCGCGTGCCGTGCGCCGTGCTGCGCGCGCGCCTGCTGCAGCCGCGCGTCCGCGACCTGCTGGCCGAGCAGCGCTACGCGGGCCGCGTGCTGCCCTCGGACCTGGACCTGCTGCTGCACATGAACAACGCGCGCTACTTGCGCGAGGCCGACGTGGCGCGCGTGGCGCACCTGGCCCGCTGCGGGGTCCTGGGGGCGCTGCGCGCGCTCGGGGCCCGCGCCGTGCTGGCCGCCTCGTGTGCGCGCTACCGTCGCTCGCTGCGCCTGTTCGAGCCCTTCGAGGTGCGCACCCGCCTGCTGGGCTGGGACGACCGCGCCTTTTACGTGGAGGCGCGCTTCGTCAGCCTGCGCGATGGTTTCGTGTGCGCGCTGCTGCGCTCCCGCCAGCACGTGCTGGGCACCTCGCCGGAGCGCGTCGTGCAACACCTGTGCAAGCGCCAGGTGAGCACCCTCTACCCCCCCCCCCCCCACACACACACTCCCCCGGCCCGGGTGCACGCCCCCCGCCCAGGGCCCTCAGGGCTCCTGGTCTCTGGCCCCTCCCCTAGGGAAGGCCAGCCGCCTGTGCCTCCTTGGGGTGCCCCTGTCCCTCTGAGGACCACTCCAGCCCTTTCCTTTGATCCAGGGCCTCCCTTCACTAGAGCCCATTCTTCCCGGGAGCTCCCAGGGTCCCCGAATCAGCTCCTCATGCACATTCTTAGCATGCTTCCCTCCCGTGGCGGCTTAACCTTGCCCCTCCGGACTCCATGCCATACCCTCCAGCCCTTCCGGACTCCATGCCATACCCTCCATTCCCTCCGGACTCCATGCCACACCCTCCACCGTTCCCAGTACAGGGAACCCCAGACCGCATCCCTCCCAGGAGTCTGAGTCCTGGGCGGCTGTGTTGCTTGGAGTGTGGAGCCACTTTCTCAGGTCCTTGGTTCTGAATATGAGGGATGGTGTCAGTAAGAGGAGGTTACTGGAAATTCCCCAGGACCTGAGGACACCCACCCCTCCCCCTGCCCTTTTCACACAGCTTGGCTCACCGTCCCCTGGGTTTGGGGTGGGGAGATTGAGCCCCAGAGAGCTGCAAGCTTTTCTGCCTTTGCCAGTTGGAGAGAGTACCTGAGTGCCTGCGTGGGGCCGAAGGACCCTCCCCAGGGCCTGCTCCTTCCAGCACAGCCTGCTACTGCAGCCTGGCAACAGGGGCCCTGGGGACAAGCTAGGGCACCACCACGGTGATGCTTTCCAGGGCAGGCTCCAGCCTAAGGCAGGTTCCCAAAACTTTGCCTGGAGCCTCCATGCCAAAGCCAGGGCCTGCCCCAACCCCTAGGTGCCCTAAACCAGGACGCTACCCTCTCTGGCTTTGGACAGGTGCCTCCTGAGCAAGGAGGGACACAAGCTCACCTTAATTGTGAGAGGCCAGCCTTTCCCCCATATCAGAGGTGGGGAAACTGAGGCTCAGGCAATGGGAACTGCCCAAGGCTGTACCATGGGCCATGGGCACAGCTCCCTGGTTTTTGTCTCTGTCTCTGAACACCCCCAAAGGTCCTGGATGTGCCCCATGCCGTAGGGACAGAGATGCTTTATGTGTCCCTTCATGTGGACATGTCCTGGGCCATGGAGGCTTTTTTATTTGAGGGACTGAGAGCTGGAACTAAAAGACAGAGGGAGCCTTTCCTGCAAGAGAGGGTGCCAGGCGGCCAGTGTGGGCTGGAAGGGGCTTTGGAGAGAGCCGGTAGCCCCACTCAGCAGGCATACCCTGAGGACGCCTGGCCACGGATGGGAGGGCCAGGGCGTGGGCCGGAGGGGCCCCGGTGCCTGGCCTAGCCCAGCCCCTGGGTCAGGGAAAGCCCCAGACGGAGTCTCGGGTTTAGCGCAGGGCAATCTGAGTCTAGTGTCCGGGGATGCTAAGTGCTGAGACTCGGGTGGCCTTGGGGCGAGAGCCGGCCTACGGCTGATCGATCGCTACGGCTGGCTGGGAGGAGAGTGCTCCCGAAAGCCTGGCCCGGATGCTGAGCAGAGCTCCCCCGTCTGCAGGGAAGGCCAGGGCTGTGGCTCTGAGCAGCAAGGCCGTGGTGCGGCTGGGCGGGCCGGGGTGGGGACGCGGTAGACAGGCGCAGGGCTGCGGGGCCGCGTCTCCCATCCGCTCAAGAGAAGAGAGGCTCCGGGCAAGCCCCTGTCCCGCACTTCGCCAGCAGAGGCGCTCGGACAGCCGCCCTTCCACCCCTCCATTCCGCAGCTCCAGACTCCTGAAGCCCTCTAGGCCTCCCCTCTCCAACCAGCTGGCCTCGGAGGCTCTCGCCTGGGTTCTGGGGACACACAGAGGGCTCAGGTGTGGCCCTGTTGGGGAGACGGGGCTGGTGAAGGAGGCTGGGGACTTGAGCGCTGGCACGGGGCAGTGCAGGCGCTGAGGGCCTCGGGGAGGGTGCCTGGAAGAGGAGGAAGAGGGAACAGCGTGAGCAGAGGCCCGGAGGTGTGAAGGCAGCACTCTGGCGCCGCGCCCCGCCTTGCGCCCCCGCTCATCGCCATTAGTAGTGGTGTGGGCGGTAACATTACCATCTCCCCCTGCAGGTGGAGGCCCCTGAGCTACCAGAAGACCTGCGGCACTGGGTGGCCTACAACGAGGCCAGCAGCCAGCTGCTCAGGGCTGAGAGCGGGCTCAGTGACCTCGTCAAGGACCAGTGAGCACCGCTCCCTGCCCGCCGGCCTCACCCTGGGGGCCCCTGCCCTCCCTTCCGGGCCTGCGGGGGCAGAGAGTGCCGAATGGGCCCGCCGGGCTGGGCTGTCCCCCAGCTGCGGTGGCCTGCTGCCAGGCGGGCTCAGTCCAGCCCCCTCCCCACGCTCAGGCCCTCCCTCCACCAGCCAGTTATCGACGCCCCTCCCCCCCACGCTGGGTACCGGCGGCCGGGGCGGGGGGTGGGTGGGGGGAGACACACACACACACAGATGCCCTGACCCAGCTCTGCCCTCCGGGTGGAGGTGATGAGGAAAGTGGGAGGCCCAGGGCCCTTGGCGTGTGGGCTCTGGGGGGCTGGGGGTTGGGCCCCAGCCTGCAGTTGAAGACACACTCCCGCAGCCTCCTGCAGCCTCAAGTCGGGAGAGTGCTTGGACCAGAGGGGCCGGCCAAAGCCACCCTGAGCCCCAGAGCCTGGAGTCTGATGGAGCTGCAGGGGTGAGGCCAGCAGTCCTGGGGGCAGGGCTGCAGCCTGACTCGGGCCTGGTGAGGAGCTGTGAAGGGTCGGAACAGCATGTCGAGGCGGATCCCTGTGGCTGTGCGTGGGGGAGAGGCAGGCCCAGGCCAACTGACCGGAGGGCGCGGGGGTTCCCCTGGGGTGGTGGTGAGCTTCCCGTCCTAGCTGGGGCCTGCTGCTGCGGAGGGAGCGGAGCAGACAGCGGGATTCTGCCTGGGTGCCCTCTGCACCTTGCCCTCGCTTGTCTGCACCCCGGGTGCTCCTAGGGCTGCGCTCTATGACTGGGTAGGACCCCACCGTCTCTGGGCCTACAGCACCTCAGGTGTGTGCCCTCCTCCTGGGGTCGTCCTCAACATGTGCCCTGCTGGCGACTCTCCCCTTCCAATGCTGAGGGGCTGCCTCGCTCCCTGGGCTGGGGCGGGGGAAGGGTCTTCTGGGCTTTGCCTGAGTGGCTCCCTGATGGGGTCACCAGGCTGCTGGGACACCTGCTCAGTCATCTGCTCCTGCCTAATTGCTTGCCTTCCGGCTAGGGAGGCCTGGAGAGAAGCAGAAACTGGCCCAGACGGCAAGGCAGGGGTGGGCAGAGCAGGGAGCCTTAGCTCCCTGGCTGGCTGGGGACACAGGGGTCAAAGCCCTGGGGGTGGGATCACTGCTTGCTCCCGCATGTGGCTGCCCAGGACGAGGTGGCCACCCGCCTGTGCCCCCAGCAGCCTGTGGTGTGGGCCAGAGCCGTGGAGCCCGGAACCGCCTCTTTTCACCCTATCGGGCGCCCCTCCTCCCACTAGAGCTAGGAGCACAGCAACGCCCCGATCCCTTGCCTGCCCCCCACGCCGACGTCTGCCTTATAGCGCAATGGGAAAGCTGCAATGTTTCTGTTTTATTTAAAGAAAGCCCAAGATTAAAGAGTTTTTAACGTCTGTGTGCTGGGGGAAGTCCTCATTTGTCAAGGCCTGGCCCCCCAGGGAAGCAGTGGGCCACTCACGGCTCTGTGTTCCCACATGGGGGGCTGTCTAGGCTTCTCAGGTTCCTGTGAACTTAGCGACCCGGTAGGCAGGGCAGGACTTGCTCCCATTTCACAGAACATGGGACCAAGGCCAGAAAGGATTTGCCCCAAGCCCCTTGTAGGCCCTGCTGCTCTCCTTGTCCCCAGCCCCTGGGCCTTGCTGCCCAATCTCTGGGTGGCTGGTGTCCGTTTCTGGTTTAGTCTCAGGATCCAGTCCCAGGATCCTCCAGAGGAGTTGGGGAGGTTAGGCCTCAGACTGGGGTTACGGGGGTGAGGTTGTGGGGTGGCAGGTGGGGCAAAGGTCAGTGGACCGTAATGGGCTTGGGGGTGGGGTCAGCATAGGGGCTATTCTGCAAGCCCCTCAAAGGAGGTAGGAGGTGGGGCTGCCAGGACATAAGGCAGGGGGCTGATGGCATGGGCCACGTTGTGCTCTGACCACCTGCTCAGGAGGGCCTGGCTCTGCAGGCCTGGAAAAGAACGGGCAGCTGGAAAAGTTGGATTCGCAGCAGGCATTCAGTGATGGGGTAGTGATGTGGCCTGGCTGAGGTCGCGTTGCAGGCCCGTGGTCTGCAGCCAGGGAAGTGGGCTGAAGCCTCACTCTTCCCACCCCCTAGGCAGGCCCCGGGCGCCCTGGGCTGGCCACGCTGGGCCTCGCACCTGCCCTGAGCAGCCAGTCCCCGGCCTGCAGGGGCGCTTGGGTATCTTCGTGGAGTATCTGTCTCTTCGCCTAAGAGGTGTTCATGCAGGTCCTGGGGGGCACATACAGGCAATGGGGGAGCTTGGAGATCACTGCAGTTGTCAGACAGGGACAGATTCCCCAGAGGGACTGGGGACAGGAAATGGTGTGCACACAGCAGGTCTGGGTCCCAGCAGGTGCATTGAGTGGTGGTGGCCAGTTGGCACCCTGGAGCAGGGCAGGAGCTGGGGGGGCAGGACAGGGCTGGGGGTCTATAGGAGGTGTTCAGGACAGTCGGGGGCATCTGGGCTGAATGTCACTGTGTCCCAGGGGCACTGCAGTTTCTCTGTCCACTCAAGGGAGGCACACCCCAGCCAGGTGGGAGCAGGGAGAGGGGAGGCGCTCTCGCTCTTTCTGTTTGGAGGCGGTCCAGCCACCGAGGGGAGGAGGGTCTTGCTGACTAGGGCACAGTGGGGTTCGAGCAGCCTCCCCCATCCGCCTGTGGATGACCTCCCGTCCTTCTGCGTTCTCTGTGACCCCACGAGCCACCTCCTCCATCCTAAGGCCCCAGGTGCCCCTGCCGGTGTGAGCACCCCCGGTCTGCACTGCGGCCACCCCAGGGCCAGCCCCCCCAAGGCCCAGTCTGTGGCCTCCCCAGCTCCTGAGGGGGACACGGGCTGTGCAGGGCTGGGAGGTGTTCTCAGGCCTGCAGACGTCAGGGGCTCTCCTCGGGCTCTTCAAGGTGGCAGCTCCCGCCCTGGGAGGGCCCGGCAGCCGGCGCTCAGGTGGTGATGGGCAGGGGCGCCCTCTGTTGGCCGTGCCGATGCTGTGCGGAGGCCCCGCAGGTGCATGGGGCCCCCCCACCTGTTTTCCCCAGGAACGGGGAGGCTGCCGAGCGTCCTACCGGCCCACCCCCTCTGCGTCCTGGAAAAGCTCAAAGGCAATGCCCTTGTTGCCCACTGGAAGCTGAAGCCAAGAGCTGCAGCGTGATCCTGCTCAGTCCCCACTTCTGAGGTGGTGGCCCTGGCCCTTGCCTCCAAATCCAGGGCCCAGTAGAAGTTCTCTGGAAGGCCGGCCATATGCAGACCCTGGAAAGCGCCCAGCCCAGAGGGCACCGGTGGGCATTTGGCCTGGAGCGGGGCAGTGGTACGCTGCCAGCGTGCTGGGTGCGGCTTCTGCCCTCCACCTCCCTCCAGGGCTGCAGAGCCAGGTCACGACCAGGGCCAGCTGGGGAGACTCGTGAGGGGAAAGCAGGAGCCTGAGGTTCAGCCCCCTGGGGCCACTGCTGCCCGTCTGCTGCCTGGGGGTGCTGCTGCCGGCCCAGGGGGCACAGAGCCCAGCGCTGGCCTTGGTATCTGGGATGAGCTGGCCTGTCCTTGCACACGGTTCCATGCGCACGGTTTCTTCTCATTTCAGCTGTCCCCAGGGCCAAGGACACGGTAGGCCCTTGTCAGGGGAGGTGACTGAAGCCCGTGGAGGTGTGCAGGTGTCCACTGGCCCAGATGCGCCCCACCCCACGTGCTCCCGGGGAGACCCGGGCTGGGCGGGCAGGCTGCCGGCACGTCCACGGGCTCCCTTCCCAGCTTCCCCGTGCTGGACCCGTGGAGCCGGACATGCCTACCCTTGACTCCAGCTTCCTTCCCACCTGGGGGACAGGGGGTGGGGTGGGGGCGATGCCTCCGGGGGCTGAGGGGAGACTGGGAGTGGGGCCAGACTTCCCTTAGGCTAAGGAACTGGTCCTGCTCTGAGGTGGCGCGGGACTGGTTTGCAGGAAGCCCGGCCCGGGATGCATTTCTCTCCTGGAACCTCTGTTTCCCCTTCTGTGAAATGAGTATGAACGGCCCTAGGTGAGAAGGGGGGTCAGGTGTCCCGAATGGGCCTGGCTCAGCCCGGCACTCCTGAAGGCTGGCTCCGTGGGCTCTTGGCACCCAGGAAGGAAGGAGGTCGCCTCTGCCTCGGCTTTATTTATTCTCTGTAAGTGTGGGAGACAGAGAGTGCCCCTGTCAAGGTTCTCGGCCCTTGGGCCCCGTGATTAACCTGAGGCTCAGGGAGCTCATGGAAGCACGTGGCTACGTAGAGATGATCTCCGGTGGGGCCGGGCCCTTCAGGGAAGGAGGCGGCCGAGGAGTGTGGCTCCCAGCGGGGCCAGGGCCCCGGCACCCAGCCTGCTGGCCTGCACGGAGTTGCACAGGTCATGGAAGCAGCAGTAGACGGGGTGGGTGGTCCCCATGCTGTCGGGGTCGGTGGCTATGCAGGAGCTGGTGCAGGAGCAGGTCACCACAGGGCTCTGGTTGAAGGGGTACTCTGCAGGGGTGGGCAAGCGTCAGAGCCTGCTCCTCCCCTGCCCAGTGCCCTCCCCAGCTGGCCCAACCTCCAGGCACTCGGTCCGGCCCTTCCTGACTGACTGCTCCAGTGAGAGCCGGTGACCCCCAGACTAATGGCTGGGCCTGGAAAGTCGTCCATGCTCCTCGCTCCAGGACCCTGCTCGGTGTGCAGTGCAGCCGTGGGGTGGGGGCCTAGAGCCCCAAGGCTGACGCAGCCACCCCAGAGCCAGTCTGTGGGACCTCCGCCGCTGCCCTCTCCAGCCCCAAGGACCATTTGGGGAAGGTGACCGCTGTGGACCCCCCGCCCACGGTGGGCTGGACTCACCTGACTCCATCTGCACCACCGTGGTCTTGCAGGCCGTGGCATCTGGCTTGCAGTAAGAAATGTTCTTGCACAAAGAAATGGGTGTGGGCTGCTCACATGTGAAGCATTTGAAGGCCTCACCTGGGCGAGGGATGGGGCAAACCTCATCACCTGGCCTTGAGACCCATCTTGGAGGCTGGAGCCCAGGCCCTTCCAGTCTAGCCCCTGGGCATACCCCACCTGGAGTGTCTCCCTTCCCATCCCTGCTTGGGGGAGGTAGCTCGCCTCGCTGGGACCCTTCAAGGCCCAGCCTATCCTGAGCAAAGGCTCTAGGGCCCAGGAGGCTTATTTAGGGCAAGGGAGATGAGCCTAGGGGATGCCCAAAGAGGCGTTCTGCCCAAGCCGCGGAAGGGCCTTCCCCTGCCAAGGAGATGGGCCAAGTGAGGCCTAGAGACATGTCCCTTGTGAGCCACACCGCCGTCCCACTCACCGGCACGCAAGCTGGAGGCTGCGATGAGCAGTAGTGGGAGCACGGCCCTGCACCAGGCCATCTGCCACACTCAGAAGCCAGGAGGGGCAGAGTCTGGGCCACCTCTGTGGACACTTATACCCTCCCCTCCCTGCAGTGCATGCCAGGGTGGTGGCGGAAGTGGCGTGTGAGTCAGCGGGGTGGCCCGGGGTAGAAGTGGGAGGTAGCGGGCGGGACGGTGGGCCGGCGGGCCAGATCACTCACAGGCCTTCAGGGAGGGGGACCCCCATTGCTCAAGCCTGTGTAGTGCCGGCCTGCACGGATGCCACACGGGCACTGAGCCCCATTGGGCAGGCCCTGGCCTGGACTCAGGCCAGTCTCCTTCACACCCAGTTGTCCTCCCTGACATAGGTGCTCACCAGAGCACAGGCCCGGATGGGGGGTCAGGCCAGGTGCAGAGGAGGGTGAGTGCCTGGTGAGGTGTGGGGATGGTGTGATGTGGGGTGGTATGGGCCCCCCGGGCTACCCTCGGGCTGATGGATGTGGGGCTCCAGACAGGCCCCGCAGTCACTAGCCCCTTCCCTACAAATGACCTTGAGGCCAAGCCTGAGTTTCCCGGTTTAGGCCCCAGACAACAGGGTTCTGCCCACCCCCCACCTCCCAGCCTGACAGCCTTCTCTGACTTTGTTCACTGCCCACCTCCCACCGCAGGGTTTCCCATGCCCACACCTTTGTCTGTGCTCTGCCTCTCAGTGGACACCATCTCTGGTCTCCCATCCTAGCGTCAAATCTTCCCCATGCTATAAGGCCCAGTCCAGGTGCCCCTCACCCAGAGGCCTCCCTGATGTTCTAGACTCTAGTTTCTCTGTCCTCTGACAGCCTAATGGGTGGATGGGAGGGTGGATGGATGGATAGATGGATGGATGAGTGGGTGAGTAGATGGATGGGTGAGTAGATGGATGGGTGGATGAGTAGATGGATGGATGGGTGGGTGGGTGGGTGAGTAGATGGTTGGATGGGTGGGTGGGTGGGTGAGTAGATGGATGGATGGGTGGGTGGGTGGGTGAGTAGATGGATGGATGGGTGGGTGGGTGGGTGAGTAGATGGATGGATGGGTGGGTGGGTGGGTGAGTAGATGGATGGATGGATGGGTGGGTGGGTGAGTAGATGGATGGATGGATGGGTGGGTGGGTGAGTAGATGGATGGGTGAGTAGATGGATGGGTGAGTAGATGGATGGGTGGATGAGTAGATGGATGGATGGGTGGGTGGGTGGGTGAGTAGATGGTTGGATGGATGGGTGGGTGGGTGAGTAGATGGATGGATGGATGGGTGGGTGGGTGAGTAGATGGATGGATGGATGGGTGGGTGGGTGAGTAGATGGATGGATGGATGGGTGGGTGGGTGAGTAGATGGATGGATGGATGGGTGGGTGGGTGAGTAGATGGATGGATGGATGGGTGGGTGGGTGAGTAGATGGATGGATGGATGGGTGGGTGGGTGAGTAGATGGTTGGATGGATGGGTGGGTGGGTGAGTAGATGGATGGATGGATGGGTGGGTGGGTGAGTAGATGGATGGATGGATGGGTGGGTGGGTGAGTAGATGGATGGATGGATGGGTGGGTGGGTGAGTAGATGGATGGATGGATGGGTGGGTGGGTGAGTAGATGGTTGGATGGATGGGTGGGTGGGTGAGTAGATGGATGGGTGAGTAGATGGATGGGTGAGTAGATGGATGGATGGATGAGTAGATGGATGGATGGATGGGTGGGTGGGTGAGTAGATGGATGGATGGATGGGTGGGTGGGTGAGTAGATGGATGGATGGGTGATTGGGTGAGTAGATGGATGGATGGATGGGTGAGTAGATGGATGGATGGATGGATGGATGGATGGATGGATGGATGGATGGATGGATGGATGGGCGAGTAGATGGGTGGGTGAGTAGATGGATGAATGGGTGGGTGGGTGAACAGTTGGATGGGTGTATGGGTGGATGAATAGGAGGATGGATGGGTGGGTGGATGGGTGAATAGATGGATGAATGGGTGGGTGGGTGAGTAGATGGATGGGAGGGTGAGTAGATGGGTGGATGAGTAAATGGCTGGGTGGGTGGGAGGGTGATGTTTGAGGGAGTGGATGGGTAGAGGGTGGAGTGAATGGCTGGAGAGTACATGAATGGAGGGAGGAAAGATGGGGGAAGAAGGTAGATGATGGATGGAAGAGTAATTGGATGGGTAGGTGGCAGATGAAAGAATGTGAGGGTGCTACAGAAGGGTATGGAGTCATACCCCAATCTCCCGGCAGGATGACATGCTGGGAGGAGCTTGGTCTAGCACTCAGGAGGCCTGGGTTTTGGTCTTAGCTTTGCTGCTGGCTCCACGTGTGGCCTTGGAGTGACTCCCTTGCCCCTCTAGACCGCATTCCTGTTTGTAGGATGAAACTAGGGACCCAGGGCAGTTTCGAGGACAGACATGACCTGGCCTTGTGGACTGAGGAAACAAAGGAAGGGCGTTGCTTGCAAAAGAATAGATGGCGGTTGCTGCAGCTCCAACAATTGGGCCTCACGTGGCAGGTGCAGGCGCGGCCAGCGGCCAGGGTGCCCTTCCCCAGGGCAGCCCTTCCCTGGGGCCTGGTCCACGATTGCGCCCAGGATGTTGCAAGAGGAGCCAGGGAGTGTCTAGTGTGGAGTCTGACAGGTTAAGTGGGTCCCAGCCCCGCCTGACCTCCTGTGTGACCAGTCTGCTCACGAATCCCTCTGATCCCCTTTCTTTCACCTGTAAACCAGGCAGAGCATCCTGTGCCTCGGAGGGCAGCTGTAAAGACGAGGGGGTGGAGGGGACCTGGAGCAGCCGTGGGGCGAGTGTGCCGAGAACACGGCTGGCATGGGCAGGAGGGGGAGAGACGCCGTGTGCTGTCAGGAGCTGCCTGGAAGGGCCCTTGCTCTGGCTTCAGAGGGGCGGGAAGGTCAGGTGGGAGCAGTGGCCAGGAGTGGGGCACAGAGCTTTCCCATGTTTCCCCGGAAGGCTGTGTGTGCGTGTGCGTGTGCGTGCGCATGCACGTGTGTGTACTGGGTCCCAGACCAGGCTCTAAGACTCAAGTGACCCCACCACTCTCCTCACTTTTGTGGTAGACACAAGAAATGCCAGGGGAGAGGTGTGAGGAATTACTGGACGGGGCCTGCTCCGTGGCAAAGTCAGAGCTCAGAGCTACAACCCCAAACGGAGGCGTCTTGACAGCACTTGACCGCGCCTGGCTTCCCGAGTTCCCTGCCCTTCCCGGAGTCTGCCAAAGAGGTCCCTGGCAGGCGGCGGCCATGCTGTGCGGTCAGCCTGTGCTGGACACATGGGGTGGGGGCTCGCTGGGCAGTGGGGGTTCTGTCCTCCAGGGTCTGGCTCGGGACCAGAGCCCCTGAGACTGTAGGTCTTGCCACAGGAGGCAGAGGTGTGGGGTTCCTGGCGTCCCAGGGATAGGGGGCCTTCTGGCCACTGGTCTCCTCTCCCAGAGGCTTGGGGTGTCCCTTGCCCCAGGACAGTCCTGCTTCAGGTCCTGGCTGCCCCCTGCCATCCAAGAACAGGGAACCCCAGAGAGGGGTGAGGGCTGGTTGTGAGAGCTCTTGGGACTCAGAGTTAGAGGCCAGTGGGGAGAACCCTCATGAGTAGGAAGAAGGGCTTCCCAGCCCCATCTCAGCTTGGCTGGACGCCACTGCTGTGCCCCGCCTCCCAGGCCCAGGCTCACCCAGGGGCCCAGGAGAAGCTGCTGGAGCAGGAGGACAGAGAGGAGGGGCAGGTCCCAGGGTGACCGAAGGCCCTCTCCTCCCTTGCCCGTCTCACCTCCTCCAGGTGGTCCTGGGGAAGGGCCGACATTGGGCGGGAGAGCTGGGGCCTGTCCTTCCTCAAGTACTGGGCCCTTGCTGTGTGTTGCCAGGACCGCGTGTGTGCACATACATGTGTATGCGTGTGGATGTGTGGGCATCAAGCCTCAACCCAGATGCAGGCCTGGGAGCCCTCTGGGGACAAGAGGCCTGTGGGGCCGGTGACTCCCGGGAGGATGATCTGGGGGATTTGGTGCTGGCCATGGCCAAGGTGGAGCGAAGGTCCCCTCTGCACTGGAGCTTGGGCTGCCCCGGGCACCCAGGGAGTGGCGTCTGGTGAGCCGGGAGAAGGCAGGTGGTGGACGTGCCCGGCAGCATCCCCTGCCGCCCAACATAAGGGGACCGTGTCCAGGGGCCGGGTGAGCAGGCAGTAGGTGCTGCATGGATCGACCCCGGATCCCAGGCCACTCGTAGCCCGCCTGGATCTCCCTTCCCCCTGGCTTGGCCTGCTCTCCTCCACCCAAGCAATCTCTCAGTCACTCAAAGCCCGGCCCTAACGGCCCCCTCCTCTGAGAAGCCACCTGTGACCCGGCCCTGGCAGGAGCGGTGCTGCCCCTGCCTGTGGGGTCCCACTTTCTGCCCCACTGCCGTCAGGCCCCCTGCAGGGCCCAGAGAGCAGAGCCCTGCCTGGTTTGCTGGCCTAGTGACCATCCCTGCTCAGCATGTCTCGGGACATGGACAGGAGACAGAGAGGGGCAGCCATGCGGGTGAGGAGAGCCCCAGAGAGAAGCCAGAGGCCAGGAGGGGCAGAGACGGACCAGGAGAGGAGGGGCTGAGAAGGGGCGGGAAGGGGACACAGGACGAAGGGGACAGAACCAGACTCGAGGCTCGAGGCCCTCCCGCGCTGGTGGGCAGGGCCGCCCGAAAGGAGATTCAGGAGGCCTGGTGCAGGGACAATGCTTCTTCAGGGGCGCTCAGGGCTGGTTTGCACGGGAGGAGGGGGCGGGGCTGGGGGGGGCTCTAGAGGCTGAGGCTCCAGAGCAGGAGGAGCGCCGGCACCAAGGCCGGGCTGCGGCTGCCGTCCAGGCCGGGGGCCCCGTCTATGTTGCAGAGGTCCGTATTGCAGCAGGACACAGGCCGGGTCTGGCCGATGCCGTCCACGTCCGAGGGCACGCAGTGGACCGCGCAGGCCTTGGTCACCGTGGAGTCCCCCAGGAAGGGGTACACTGTGGGCCATGTTGGATGCCTGGTCAGCTCGCGAGCTTCAGGGACCCCACACCCAGCCCCATGACCCCAGGGTGGGGTCAGTCCCTCTGTGACCCGGCCCCCCCCCTTCCTTCCGCCACTGTGGGCTGAGTGCCGCCTCTGTGCTGGGGACACAGCGACTTGCGCAGGATTTCTGGCTGGATGAGGCAATTCCTTTCCAGGTAATCCCCAGGCAAGGTGAGGATTCCTTTCCATTAAAGGAAAGAAGGGAGGAGGGAGGAAGACCTAATTGCTTGGACCAAAAACCCTTTTGCAAAAGGCTAAGGCGGTGGATGCGCACTGTGCATAGCTGGCCAGGGGTGACGGTCCTGGAGGCAGCTCTGACCCTGGGACCCTGGCCCCGGCCCACCCAGCCCCCGCTGACCTGGCCCCCGGCCCACCCAGCACCCTGCCGCCCTATCTCCAGGGGGTAGAGGGTGGTCGCCCCGCCCACCCAGCCCCCGCTGACCTGTCTCCAGGGAGTAGAGGATGGTGTTGCACATGGTCTCGTTGGCATTGCAGGTGGCAATGGTAACACAGCTGGACACATCAGTAGGCTCGTGACAGGTGTAGCATTGCAGGGCCACCACTGGATAAGAAGGGACAAAGGACGCATCAGGCAGGCCCTGCCCCTCCCCAAGCCCGCTGTCCTGGAGGCCCAGGTTTGAGGGGGACCATGCCATTCAGGCTCCAGTTGCCCAGCCACCCAAACTCTGGGAGGACTCAGGAGGCTTGAGCTGTGGTCCTTAGAGACAGAGTGTGCCCCTGACGGGCTCAGCCTGCAGAGCCAGGGTGCGGACGGAACAGCTCTGGAAGCATCAAGGAGGTGCTCCCTGCTGCAGGGTCAGGGAGGGCCTCGGTGTGGCTGGACACCGCCCTGGGGTCCTGATCAGCAAAGAGCAGCACCCGAAGAGCGGCAGTGGGCATCAGGAACAGACAAGGAGGTGTGTGGGGTGCAGGGTGGACCGGGCTGGGCCTGGGGCACCCACGGGAGCCAGCTTAACAAAGGAGGGAAGAGCCACAGCCCAGGGGCCCCGGGCAGGTTGGGGTGCGGGCCAGCAGGGGCGGGGGCCCCAGGGTGCGCCGCTCAATGTCCCACCCCACCAAGGGAGCCTAGGTGGGCCTGACTGGCTCCAGCTGGTCCGTGCACAGTAAGGCCACAGACCCCTCTACCCCCACTGTGTGTCACTGCGTCTCGGGTGGACCTCAGTTTCCCCTCTGGCTGGGGCCCCCTCTACCCAGCTCCTTTTCTGGTTGGGTGTGGGGGCCCCGAGGGGCTGGGGTGTCTCTCCCAGTTGTTCTCCCAGACCCCCTGTCAGCCCCAGTTCCCAGCACCTCCTGGTCTCCCCAAGACACCCCCTGAGGCCTGCCTCCACCATGGCCCCGGAACCAGGGAGCATGATCCTCCAGCTAAAGCCTTTCCGGGGTGCCCACGGCCCCCAGGGACATGCAGTTCTGCTGCCGCCCCAGCCCTGGGGGGCAGCCCCCTGGTACCATGCCCTCCTCTCCCTTCCCTCCCGGCTCACCCTCGCTCCCCGCCCTGCCTCTCCTCAGTCTCCCCGCCTCTCCTCAGTCTCCCCGCCTTCCTCCACTCCCCGGCGCCCCTGCCTGCGCCCCTCACCGAGCTCGTGGCTGCAGGTCGCCAGCACCAGCCCCAGTAGCACCAGCCGTGTCCCCCTCATGGTCCAGTCCTCCCACCGCTTCTTAGCACGCTCGCCTTCGGCCTGCCCGCAGGGACAGTGGACACCCAGTGCAGCCACCCAACCGGTTGGTCAGCCAAGCTGATCTGTGGGACTGGGTTTCCTGTGGGCGGCAGAGGTGCAGAGACCCGCCCCCCTCCGCCCACTGGGGCCCCTCCTGCCTCCACTGGACGCCCCATTCCTCTGTGGGTACTCCTCCTGACCTCCCTGGCCCCTTCCTCTACCTCCCACAGCCTGGGGTCCCTCCCCGGCCCTGATGGCCCCTCTCTATGGTTTGGGGGCCCTCACCTCCCTCTGTGACTCCCTTACCTGGGCTCCCCACCTTCTCCTTCCTCCTCCACCCCTACCCCCACCCTGGTTTCTGCCTCTGCCGGGCACCCTTCCCACTCCAGGGCAGAGTCCGGGTCTAGTAGTTCTGGGTTTGAATGCTAACGGGGTGCCCGACAACCCACCCCCAGCTCCTCTGAGGTAGTCTCGTGCGGCATAGTGATATAGGGACAGATTGCTGCCTGGACAAACAGCCACAGTGTACTCAGAGGGTTATGGGCACAAAGACAGGAAAAGTACTGGGTCAACAGAAAGGTCCTCAATGGAGGCTGGAGATGGGGAGGGGCCAGGGTCGCCTTGGGTACACTAAACCCGGGGTCCACTGAAGGAGCAGGTCCACCTTGGTCTCTAAGGAAGCCAAAGGGGGTGCCCCGCGGGCAGGGCTCTCCTGGCCCCACTGTACGTCAGGAAATTGACAGGAAGGTCCTTGCACAAGGCCCAGACGGGACTGAAGTGCGGCTCCGGCCACTGGTCCCCCCCAACACACACATGCACACAGGCACCCCCACTCCCCCAGAGTGCCTGCACTTCAGCCTCCCCAGGATGTCCTCCACCTGTAACCAGGTCACACCCTCCACCAAGCCCACAGCTGCCAGGGTGAACCCCGGGGTGGGGTGAGGAGGGTTGTTGACAGGTCCCAGGGCCTCTAGCTGGGCAGTCAAGGCCTTGGAGCCCAGACTCACTTGGGTCCACACTGCAACCCCACCCAACTCCTCCACCTTCTCTCAGAGGGTCCAAATCTTACTCCCAACCTAGACTTTGCATCTGCTCTTCCTGCCACCAGGGATGCCCATCCCTCCCCTGCCCTCCTATGGTTGAAATTCTCTGTCTGGGGACTCTCCCCCCACCCCCCTCCCACAGCCTTTTTATGGTCCTTGGCTTTCCTTTGAGATCAGCTCCATGTGGGAACTGAAGGGGCTTGAGCCTCCCTGGGCACTGGGTGGGGCCTGAGGGTGAGGCTCGTGGTTTCCTGTAGCATCCAGCCTGTGTCAGCCACGTCCTCTGCTGGGTCTGTTTTCCTCTCTACAGCTCTGGACGCACACAACACTAACAACTCTACTTTGGATCTAGGATCAGATGCTCCTGGCAGCTGCTGACTTGGGCGGGTCACCTCGCGTGGGCTGAGGAAAAGCAAGCAGCAACTGGGCTTGTCTGATTTTACACTTCATTGCGCCACCACGCTACAACTGGGCGCTGATGCTGGATGCAGCTAACTGGATTAGACACCCACTGCACACACCCTAACTTCCTCCCTCGGTCTAGCCCAATTCCATTGCTGTAGCACATACCAGCCCAACTCCTTGTTCTCAGACCTAAGGGCCCCACCCGTGCTTTCTATCTGGAACACACCCCTGACCCCTGGGCATTCGCTCCTCCTACAGTTTCTGCCTGATCTCTGGGTAGCCAGGCTGAACCTTACTGCAAAGTTGCACCTGTCCACTTAGGTAGAGGAGGAATGTGGCTCAGTCAGAGTCTGGGTGGGCTCTGTCTAGGATGCCTCCATGTTGAGAGGTCTCCAACCACCCCTCAGTTCTACTAGGAGCCTTGAGGGCAGGGCTCAGAGTTTGACCAGGATCAGGGCTCAGAGTGTGACCAGGTGTCAGGGCTCAGACTGTGACCGGGTTCAGGGCTCAGAGTTTGACCAGGATCAGGGCTCAGAGTGTGACCAGGGGCAGGGCTCAGAGTTTGACCGGGATCGGGGCTCAGTCTGTGACCAGGGTCAGGGCTCAGAGTGTGACAAAGATCAGGGCTCAGTGTGTGACCAGGGTCAGGGCTCAGGGTGTGACCAGGGTCAGGGTTCAGTGTGTGACCAGGATCAGGGCTCAGAGTGTGACCAGGATCAGGGCTCAGTGTGACCAGGGTCAGGGCTCAGACTGTGACCGGGTTCAGGGCTCAGAGTTTGACCAGGATCAGGGCTCAGAGTGTGACCAGGTGTCAGGGCTCAGACTGTGACCGGGTTCAGGGCTCAGAGTTTGACCAGGATCAGGGCTCAGAGTGTGACCAGGGGCAGGGCTCAGAGTTTGACCGGGATCGGGGCTCAGTCTGTGACCAGGGTCAGGGCTCAGAGTGTGACAAAGATCAGGGCTCAGTGTGTGACCAGGGTCAGGGCTCAGGGTGTGACCAGGGTCAGGGTTCAGTGTGTGACCAGGATCAGGGCTCAGAGTGTGACCAGGATCAGGGCTCAGTGTGACCAGGGTCAGGGCTCAGTGTGTGACCAGGATCAGGGCTCAGTCTGTGACCAGGATCAGGGCTCAGAGTGTGACCAGGATCAGGGCTCAGAGTGTGACCAGAATCAGGGCTCAGCATGTGACCAGGATCAGGGCTCAGAGTGACCAGGATCAGGGCTGAGCGTGTGATCAGGGTTATAGCTTCTCTGCTGGGGCACATCTCTCTGCTAGGCTTCCTCTCCAGCTGCCTTTGGGTGACTCCTCTGGGCAGTGTGCCGAACCCAGGAAGGCAGAGGGGTGTCCTCGGCTCCTGGTCACCTGTTCCCCTGTGGGGTCCAGCAGAGTAGACGGATGGCTCCTAAGCTCATGTTTCTACCCCGTGAAGGAAGTGCGGGGTGTAGAGTTCTCCTGGAGGCAGCCCTTTCTGCCATGCGCTTCCTGAAGGACCCAGATGTGGATGTGCCCACTGTACGGCCACCTGTGTATGAGCAGGTGTTGGGCTGCTCCCGTCCGTGCTGTGGCCAGCATCTTCCAGTGGGACGTGTGCTCGGAGGCACAGAGCTGGGGACACCTGGGAACCCTCGCCGTCCACCCGCCATGGGCTCCTCGTCCATGTGATCAGTGCTTCTACTCCCCCGCCCACCACGGCCTGACCCTTCCAGGAGGTTTGCAGGAACTTTGTGAAAGACCCATCCGCTCTTCAGTGAAAACCAGGAGACATCCGTTTACACCTCTAGACTCAGAACCCCTGCCTAGGAGTCCTGAACTACTTTATCAGGGTGCTCACCCAGCCCTCACCAGGCGCCCACTTTGGGAGCCCTGCCTTTCACCAGATTCTTGAGCCTCAAGCAGGGGAGGCGCAGGCTCTGTGTGGGCGGCCACTCCTTCCCGTGCATGGGTGTTTGGTGACATTTTGGGGTCCAGCACGCAACAGAGTTCTGGGGGCATCTTAGAGTTTCATGCCTGCGGCGGACTTGCCCTCTGGGGGCAGGGCCACCCCACACCCAGAGGCACAGCGGGATGGCTTCCCGCCCGTCCTCACCCCGTCTTCCCTGTGTGCTCACTCATCGATGGAAACACCACTTTGACTTTGTTCCTTTGTGACTCTGAGTGTGCTTGACTTTCCTTTTCGGTGAACCTGCTGCTAAGGTCCTTTGCTCCTCCTTGCGGATTCGGAAGTATTCTTTAGTGTTCACAGGTATTCCCATGTGTGGCAGGCATTTCCTACTTTGTCTTCTGTGTTTTAGTTTTGTGTATCGTACTTTTTCATGTATTTCACTTAGATATTCTAAGAAACATGAGTCTTTCTCAGTCTGGATTTTCCGCCTTGTTTTTCTTTCAAACACTTTTTTCTTTTTTCCTCTTTTTAATTTGTAACAGCTTTATTGAACATGCTTCACATTCCATCCAATTCACCCACTGCAAGTGTTTCTGGTATTTTCCCAGGTCCTGCAACCATCCCCAGTCAGGCTCAGGAAGAACCCCCTCCCCCGCCCCCCGCCGCCCTTGGGCTGCCACCCCCGCGCACCAGCGCATTCCCAGCGGGCCCTGGCCACCGCTCGCTGGCTCCCTGCCTCTTCGGATTTGCCTGTGCTGAGCATCTCGAAGAAATGGACGCGCAGAGAATGCGGTCTTCCGTATGTGGCCTCTTGCTCTCCGTGTCTCAGGTTCGTGCAGCCCTTAGCAGCATCAGGGGACGCACTCCGCGGTCTGCAGAGACACCCTCCCACGCGCCCCCAGCCCCGCTGGCCCGAGGCCCTGCTTGTGCCTCTGTGTGGGGTCACTCTGTGCCGGGACGCTGCCCCCCGCCCCCCACACTGGGCGGCTGCACCACCGCACTGCTCTTGCACGTTTTCTTTCATGAGAGCGTGGCCAGGGTAAGGACAAGGAAAGGCCTGGGCGCTGTGCCTGGGGGTCATGTGGTGGGGAGGAGCCATGCCCCCTGGTTGGGGGGTTCTTGGTCCACTTCGCAGCTGGACGCTGGCTGGAGCCACGATTAAAAGTTCCCCGGGGCTGCGGGGGCGGGGGCGCGCGTGCACCTGTGCGTGGGCGGGGGCGGAGCCGTCCCCAGCCTCACCCTCTCACCTGCCTGCTCTGTTCCTTCCATCCTCCCCTTTCCGGCTCCGCCAAATGCCTCTCCCCCTCCCCCGACCCACCCAGGGCCGCCTCTAGTTCTTCCGCGCTCCCGCTCTGCCCCGGGCTCCTCCTCGAGCGCGCCCCCCCCCGCCCCCCCTCCCCGGCCCTGGTGCCGCGGCTCAGCTGCCTGGGGAGCAGCGACGGCCTGGGGCTCGGGCGCTGTCTTAGCTCCGTGAGGGGGGGACAGCGCGGGGGGGGGGAACAGCCGGGGGGGGGGGGTGTCAGTCGATGTTGCAGAGGTTGTACTGGCAACAGACGATGGACACGTTGGGGCCCAGGCCCAGGCTGAGGATGTCCGGGCAGTTGCTGTAGCACGATTTGGTCACCAGAGGCAGGTCAATGACGCTGAAGGGGTCTCCTGGGGTGGACAGAAGCTCCCTGAGGCTCTGAGCTGCCCGTGCCCCCTGCCCCACCTGCCACCAAGCCCAGAGTCAGTCCCCAAACTGGGCATCACCGGCCCCCTCCCTTGGGTCCTTTCCTGTGCGGAGGTCAGCGGATGCTCCCCTCGCCCTGTTCCTGACTGGTTGGGAGGCTGGATCAGCTCTGCCCACTCTGAGCCTGGGTCTCTTCTCCTGGGCAAGGAGGGCACAGCTGGCCCACCCCGCGCGTCCCCTACTCACGGGTGCCAATGCTGACGCAGTAGTTGGAGCCCCGGGGGCATTTGGCCGCATGGTGGCACCCTCCGAAGCCCTTGCACTGGTGACATTTCAAGGCTCCGGCTGCAGCCGCGGGCGGAGGGACAGGTGGATGGACACACACACAAAGAGGGACACAGGGATGGGCAACGCCCGCCTAACAGCACCCTCTTTTCCCACCCAGTGCCCCCCTCTCATTCTTAGCACCCTAGGCCCTCATCCCGGGGTGCCCGATCCCTCAAGACCTCTCAGATAGGGGGGTGGGGAGAAGGTCACCATGTCCCAAGCCTCAGCCCGGGGCTGGACAAGGTCCTGGCCCTCTGCCCTGCCATCCTGTGGGACTGCTCTTCCCAGGATGCAGGTGGTCAGGCCCAGGGCCACAGCTGGGGCGGCTGCAGCTGGAGGCAGCTCTTCGAGTCCATCCACCCAGGACAGTGCTGGGCTGGGAGGCAGGATGGGGTCTTCCCGGGCTTGCTGTGTGCCCCCCCCCCAGGGGAGTGGATGAGCAGGGGCTTCACGCAGAAGGAGTTGAGGGTTGGGGGAGTTTGGGATGGGGGGAAGGTGGTGAGGGCTCCCCAAGACATGACCATGCCCATGTTTCCTCTGCGGGGCCTGAGCAGGACCCCTTAGGCCCACAGACACCTTCGTGGTGGTGGGGCCTCCACAGCCTCCGTGGGGAGTGGGGAAGCAAGGGGGACAGAAGAGCTGGACAATGAAAAGGACAGGAGAGAGGCTGGCACAGTTTTGGTTGATGTTTCATCTATGGGGACAACCTGGAAGCTTTGGAAATACTAAGTTCATCCCCGAAATGTCTGGCAGATCTGCCCATCAGCCCTGTCCTTGCATGTGGGCGCTGCGTGGGGCTCTCTGTCCCTCTGTGCCCACCCCCCATGCTTCTTGCCTCGAACTTCCTCCCTCCCTCCCTACGTCTCCTTCTCTGGTGCCTGCACTCAGGGTTTCTGTCCAGGTCCCGAGCCACGGTGCCCAGGCCTGCTCCGGCCTTCTGCACGTGCAGACCCAGCACCCTCCCAGTCACAGAGCCAGTGGGACGAGCTGCGAGGCCCGCACCACGCACGCTCACCATGTGCAGGCTCGGAGCCCCAGGAAGCTCCTGTCACAGTCCAGGGCAGTGTACTCGCGCCTCCCCCCGCCCCCCCAGTCAGTCCTTCGGGCCTCTGCTAGGCGGCCCCAGCCCCGCCATCAGCGTTGCCCTCGACCTGCCCCAGACCAGCACGCTTTCAGACCCAGGTCCGTGGCCACGATGATGCATCGCACGCTTTCACCAAACCACAGTGTGCACGGGCACACACATGCACACCTGGGCAGGGGCACACCGCGCCTCCTGGCCAGCCCTGAGCCCTCTGCTCACCCCCTGGGGATGTGGGTGGCCTCCTCCCAGAACCACAGAGTAGGTGATGGAGACAAGGAAGTCTCCACCATGGGAATGTGCCCACCATCAGCCTTGACTCGTCTGCCAGCCCCACAGAGCAATCTGAGACCCCACGGGTGACCAGGAAAGGTGACAGCGCTTGTCACAAAGCCCATCAAAGCTGCTTGAAGGCACCCTCACATCAAACCCGATGAGGGTGTGGTAAGCTGAGTAGGCCACCTAATGGACAGACAGGGGAAGGTCACCTGGAAAGCCGGGGTGTCTGTGCCCCAAGGGTACCCCGGTGAGAAACGCAGTTCCTGCCTCCCGCTCCCGTCTGCTCAGCCTCCCAAATGCCTCCCTGCTTTGCCCATGTTCTTCCTTCTGCCTTCCGGGCAAAACAGGCCCCAGCTCAAATGCCACCTCCTCTAAGAAGGCCTTCTGGATTTCCCAGGCAGAGTTGATGGCTCCTCCTTTGACATGCCCACCCCGAGTTGCTGGCACCTCTGCTCCAGCCTGGTGACAGTGTCCCTGCCCCCATGTGATCTTGCTCAGGGCTCCCTCCCTGCCCCCACCGCCTCCGACGTGAAGGACATGGGTGGGGTATTTCACCCACTCTTCCGTGCCCCCAGAGCATCCTCCTCTCTACCTAGTGGGGCTCGGGAGAGCTTTGTGGAGGGAAGGAAGGAAGGAAGGAAGGAAGGAAGGGCAGCCAGGTGGCAGGGCTGTGGGTGCAGCTGACCACGCTCGTGTCCTGTCCTGGCTCACACTGTGTTGCAGACGGCACACCTCCCACTCTGATCCCGGCTCACTCTGAAGCGAGGCTGGCATGTGGACTGGGGGGCGGGTGTGCTTCTCCTGGGGAGCAGGGAGAGGACACCAGCAATGCTGTGGCATGTGGGGCGCCTGTGATCCACTGGACCTGGGCTGAGCCACGGGAGGGAGGAGGGGCCTGTGGGTGGCCACTCCTGGATGCCACGCAACCCGTGACAGCCCTGGTGGTGACAAAGCCTTTCCCCACCCCTGTCCATCCACACCGATGACCCTGAGGCAGTTCTTAGGGCTCATTGAGGAGACCTGGGCCCTGAGCCTCACAGACCTTCCCCACCGAACAGAGAGCCTGCAAGAGCCCGGGCCTGGGGAGGGTTCCCGCAGGTGAGACAGTAGCGGATCCCAGACGGTGCTGGGTGGAGCCCGATGCCCATGCCAGGGGCCGTCCGTCCACTCGCTCTATCTCATTTAGGGCCGCGGGCCGTGAGGAGGGTGCTGACCCAGATATAGAGACAGAGGCCTTGCCAGGTGAGGGCTGGGGGGGTGGGGCTGGTTGCGGTTGGATCGGGGGTCTAGTTGGTTTTGTTCGGGCCTCTGGGTGGGCGGGTGGAGATGCCATCCCACCTCGGGTGCGGTAGGAAGGTGAGGCCAGATGTGGGCAGCCCCATTTGAGGAGAGGTGCCCAAGAAGCCCTTAGGCAGGCATCTGGTCCAATGGGCCTGGAGCTGGACAGGATGGGGCCAGTGATAGCAGACGTGGGCTGAATACAGCAATGGCCAGAGTGGGGAACTGGCCCCTCAGGAAGCCTGAGCAAGGGAGGAGAGACCCGAGTCTCAGCCAGAAGAGAGTTAGGAGAGGGCCAGAAGAGGGTGGTCCTAGGAAACAGGTGCAGGCCAGGGGGAGCTGAAAGAGGCCCTCACACTCAGTGTGGGGGGTCACTGTTGAGTTGGAGAAGCTGTGGGGGAGGTGGGGGGAGAGGGCTGTCAAGCTCGGGGCAGGGCGCTGGGAGGTGGGCAGCCCTTACAGGGACAAGGACAGCACTGAGCGCTCGGCTGATGGGCCTGTGGGTCCAGGAGGGGGTGGAGGAGAACTACTGAGTGCTGTCCACAAGCAGGCGGTAGGAGGTGGCAGGTGGGGAGGGTCTAGCGCCCAAAGGGGTGGAGGGGGCAGGAATTGGGCTTCCCTGAGGTGAGGAGCCACAGTGCAGGGCTCGGTGCTGGCTGGGGTTGGGGGACCGGCTTAGAGCAGTGGGGGAGGAGGTGGCCCCTGGACTCACCCAGCTCCAGGCTCAAGGCAGCGGCCAGCAAGAGCCCAGGGAGCAGCCGCATGGTCTCTTGGGGTGAGGCTGGCTCCCGGGGTACCCAGCTGCCGTCTTATACCTGCTGCTCCCGCCCCGCCCCCGCCGACTCCACCGTCTGACTCACCTGGCAGCTGACTCAGCCACGAAGCCAGGCTGGGGCCCACCCAGCCCCCAGGCCGGAGGGCAAGCCCAGTTTATCACGCAGACCTCTTTCCTTGCCCATCAGGTTGCAGGGTGGGGATCAGGTAAGACCACCTGGCACAGGGCGGACCCTCAGCTCACAGACTCTGGTTTTCCTGCGAGGAACTGGAACGAGGGTCCAGCACGGGCCTGAGCGCACCTTTCCCCCTCAACATGCCAGCGAAGCTTAGGGCCAGCCAAAACTGCCCCCTAGGCGCTGGATGACCAGCACGCTCCACAAAGGCAGAACATGGGCATCCTCAGCGGTCCTGCCTGTCAGATGGGCCTTTGTCCAGAAGTGGCCGTGGGGGGCTGCCTGCCTTGCTAGGAGTCATGCGGGCTCGTGGCTGTCACCGAGCTCACACTGCAGGACACAAGACCTGCAGCTGTTTGCCCCCGGGGGGGGGGGTGGCGGGAGGGGCGGGTAGCAGAGACGTATTTAAAAGGGTCCCATGATGGGTGAGGGCCCAAAAGGGCACAGGTCCGCCAGCCACACTGTTCTGCCCAAGCTGGCGGGGGCTGGGGCAGGATGGGGGCAGCGCAGGGGGCGTCCGCGGGGCGTTGACGTTGCCCACCCGCGGAGCCCTGTGTAAGCTCTGGCTGCTGAGTGGCATTTGTCCCCCGCTCTATGTGGTGGACTCCTTAGGGCTGGGGGCTGGGTGGATTCAGACCCTGCTCCCAGGTGGAGGAGCCTGAAAGCCCGGGTGGCAGGTGGGTTCCTGGGGTCACGCCTCCCTCCCCTGGCCCCCCACAGCCTTCTCTAGGGACCCCTCTCAAAGGGAGCAGCTGGGTGAGTTGGTGGGCCTGCCGCTTTCCCTGGAGCCCCGGGATCCTCCTGCCTCTCCGGCTCGCTCCCCTCCCACGGGTCGTCCCCTTGCACCGTGCCAGCCCTGGCTCCAGGGGCAACTGGATGAGCCGGGGTGAACTGGAGTCCGGGACCAACACAACCGACAGGGCCAGCCCTACCAGACCGGATAGGGGGAGCTGAGCTTGGGCTGAGGTGGCTGGTGAGGACCGACCAAGGGCAGACATATTTATTCATCCATTTATTCACACACTCGAGATACTGAGGGGGCCTCTCTGAGGGCTAGAGTGAGCCAAGGAGGGCGCCCTGGCCTGAAGGCGGATTCTCATGCTGATCAAGGTCAGGGTCAGGGCTAGGGGTTAGCATTTGCTGCCGGCAGGGGCACGGCCCTCGAAGTGCCCAGACCTCGCAAGTGGCATGAAAGGAAGAGGGACCTCCCATCGATCCGTCCGTCTGTCCGTCGGAGGCTTCCTGTGTGCTAGGCCCTGGGCTGGGCACGTACACCCACAGCCTCGTCCATCCCCCCGAGGCCTCGGCTTGGTGGGAACCATCATTCCCACTTTATCAATGAGACCGCTGAGGCTCAGAGACGTGCGTGATGACCTCCAGGCACCCCGAGTTGTAGAATCCAACAAAACTCACTGAGGGGGGGGCAGGAGAAAGAAAGAGCCGTCCCAGTTTCTTTGTACCCTTTCCAGAGGCAAGATACATGTTTAACAAACAAATCAGCCGCTGCCAAGGGAGGTGGGGTGGTTGGTCCAGCCTCCCTGCCCCCTGCCCAGCACCAGCCCACCAGCAGCGGGGCTGGCTGGGCTGGCGCTCTGGATGCACCCCTTCCTGGTGCCTTCTGCATGCAGCGGGGCCAGGCTGCACGCACAGCCCTGGAGCTGCCTCTGGCTGCAGACGCCAACCTGTGCCCCCAGCTCAGCGCCTGCAGCCCAGCTCCTCAGCTGGGCTCCGAGAGTCGTCACGGGCAGCGGCCCGGCACAGAGACGCTCAGGCTGCTTCCAGACTTGGGACGCCCCAGAGAGCTTCCGGGAGCATCCATCCACATCGAGGGGGTACTCATTTCTGCTGGAGGGATCCCCACAGCGGACATGCCCACTGCCTGGGGGCAGCCTGCTGCCCCTGTGCCCTCCTCTCTGCGACCCCAGCCCACGGCCCGGGACACAGACACAGGGCTGGACGCCTGCCTGGGGGCCTCACGGCTCCTCAGATCTCTGGTTCCACTCTTCTCCTTCTAGAGCTTTCCTGACCCTAAGCTCTTAGAAGTATTTCACAGGCTCAGATCGCTTTCAGTTTACAATTCCCCTCCTTGGCTTCCCCGCCCGGGCTCAGGGATGCAGTCTCCCAGCTGGTGGGAGAAGACTCTGCTCAGTGGGGCAGGGGTGTGGTGGTTGGGCACCCCGGTCATGCTGGGCCTCAGCTTCCTCACCTGTAAAGGGGGCGTGGTAATGGCTCACACCTTGCAGGGTGGACATGGAGTGCTTGCAGCCGGGACAAAGGAAGCCACAGAGATCAGCTCCCGTCCTCGTCGGTGCCATTCCCACTGGCACTGCCTTCAAGTTCAGTGTCACAGGCTTCCCACTAGGGGCCGGCCCCGTATTAGTTGAGGGCCTCCCGAGGGCTCTGTGCTGGGTTCTGAGGACAGCCCAGCAGGCCAGGACCCTGTGGGTAGGTGGGTGGGGTGGGGGCATTGTCCTGCGGGCTGGGTGCAATGTTGTGGGCCCTGGGTTTGGACCAGGTCACAGCGGAGGATGGACAGATGGGGACAGAAGGCAGGTATAAGAAGCACCCCCATACCACGGCAAGCCCAGCTCCCTGCTCTCAGTGACCCCAGAGCCCACAAGTGGCCAGGCAGGCCTCTAACTTCATCACCCACCGAGGGGAGGGAGGACTGATCCTATGCTCCTCCCAGCTGTGGCCTAGGACGCCTGCTGACCCAGGACAAAGGTCTTACACAAGCAGTTTACCAACTGCTTCCAAGCCTCTCCCACTGAGTCAGGAAGCCAAGGGAGGCTAGGGTTGGAGGCCCATGTCCACCCTTTCTTCCTGCTGGCTTCCGCATCCAGAGGCCTCTGCTGGCCTTCCAGCCAGCTCTGTGGGGGAGCTGAGTCACTTCCCCGAGGCTGACCACTTCTGGGGATCCTGCTGGACCTGTGGGAGCTCAGGGCTGGGGTCTGGCTTGCTCCCAGCCTCCCCCAGGGAAGGTCTCATACTGGATTGGGCTTCAGGGGGAGGAGACACCCAGGTCTCCTGTGGGGACCGAGTTCTTAACCAGACACTCCTTGGGGTGCAGCTCCTTCCCGCCCAGGATGAGGCCCATCTTCCCGGACCTTCTGGGAGGTCCAACCAGCTCTGCCTGAGGACCCCTACTGAGGCTCACGCAGGCTCTCCCAATCCCTTGAGCTCTGGGGACACTGGGTGAAGCTCTCCAGGCAGACTCTCCAGCACAGGCCCCCCGATGAGGGCCACGTTTTAGGGCCATGGGCTCCTGAGTTCCAGGGATAATCCCACCACATAGGCATTTGCCACAATCCTGCCAACTGAGGACCAGACAGCCAGAAGGGGCTCCTGGGCCCTCTACAGACACCAGAGCTGGGGACACTGGTCAGGTAGCCCTTATCCAGGATAAGGGCTGGATATGTGCTGGGTGGACATATCCCCAGCTGGGCGGTGCTGTGCTGGGCGGACTCTTGTTTCCCAAACCAGGCCAGGGATGGGATTCACCTAGGCTGGGTACCCTTTAAATAATGCCAATTCTTGGGCCCTTGGGGGTCCCAATGCCCCACTGGGTTGGGGGCACCTGCAGACCACTCATCAAATCAAGGAGGGAGCTCTTCAGCCCAGGGTGGATCTCTCTCTCCCCTCAGGTGGAGTCAGAGGGTAGAGGGTCCTGTGGAGACTCTCAGGCTGATGGGCTCTGCCTTTGGGGCCAAGGCCAGCTCAGCCAGCACTCATTCAGCCAGGCCTGCAGGCCACAGCGGAAAGGGGCCAGTGGGTGTGGACAGTGGTTGTTGGGATTGGGGTTGCAGAGGAAATCCCAGGGCGCGACTTCCTCTTCCCGGGGGAAGTCTGGTCATCTGCATCCCAGACCCCGCCTCTCCCAGCCTCTGTCCCGGGTTGACTTCCAGGATCCCCCCAGCCCTGGCTGACTCAGGTGGATCCTGATCCAGGATCCCCCCAGCCCTGGCTGACTCTCGGACACCGGCTGCAGCTCACCCCCCTCCATTAAGGGGCATGCTTGGGCTGAAGACCAGGCTGTTTTGGCCCCACTCAGCTTCCTTCCCTCCCTGCTGAAAATAGCCCTGGGGTCAGCTCTCAGGCTCCACCAAATATAGCCGCCTGCCTGCCCTGCCCCCAAGTGCTGGCCAGCCTCAGGCCAGGGGAGGGGAGGGGGAAAGGTCAAGGATTTCGCAGAGCAAGAAGGGAAGAACCTCTTACTAGGCTTCTGAGACTGGGGGCCTGAGGGTCCTCTTTAGGATGAGCCCACCCCCAAGCCCCCAGCCAAGGGCTGCCTGGATATACCGGGCTTCCTGGCACTCCTATCTGGGACAGCTGACGGGGACAAAGGCCTTCCTCACATGGCCCTTTATGCCACACTTACCCTGGGCAGCTCCTGGCCTCAGTCAGAGCACAGAGACAGCCCTCCTGGCACCCCAGCAAGCCCTTCTTCCCAGGACGGTCCCCCACCCATCCTGGGTCCCTGCTTTGCCCTGCGCCTCCACACACTTACCGGGCAGACTGGGGCAGGGCTTTGCTCCCAGAGCTGCCAGGAAGGTGGGCCAAGTCTCCCTGCAAATCAGTGTTCCTCAGCCAACTGAGGACCCCAACTAAGCAGCACACTTTGCCAGACACCTTTGGGAGGGCTGATCCCACATCAGTCTTTCGCTAATGGAAGGTTGTGGTCTGGGAGCGAGGCCCAGGGTGGTGGGCACTCTAGCAGGCAGTCCTGGGTGTGGCTGGGTGGGGGGTGGGCGGTCTCTGCGCGTGCAGAAGGTGGGTGGGGTGTGCAGGGTGAAAGGGTAGGGCTGAGCCTCTCAGAACTTTGTCCTTGAGTGGGTCTGGGTGGGGGGCGGGGGTTTAGAGCAGACCCCAGAGGGTAGCCAGGAATATGGGGGCCAGGGCCAGGGTCCCGGGGACGGAGAGGCCAGCTCTGTTACAGAGGTCATATTGGCAGCAGGAGGTGGTAGAGGCGTGTTTGGAGTAACCATCATACACGGTCTCGAAGCAGCTGGGCACGCATGACTTGCTCACCTTCATCTTGGTCGGGGTGTAGTCTGCAGAGGGGAGGTGGGCAAGGACCCCAGGTTGGCCCACCCTGGTGTGCAGGGCCTTTAGGGCCGGTTCTCCCTGAGCCAGGTGCTCCCAGAAAGAATCCTAGGGCAAGTGGGAGCCTCCCTCCTCAGGGTCCCACACTCCCAGGGGCAGGAAAGAACACCCCTCACGCCTCCCAGAAAGCGCTGCTGGGGGCACCCACTGACTCACAGGTGCGCGTGGTCATGCAGTAGGTGACCATGGCCGGGCAGCGCATGGGGTTGAAGCAGTTCTCTCCATTGTAGGCGCACACGTGGCAGTCCAGAGCCTGGGCTGGGGGCCAGGGGATGGGGTGGGAGCTGGGTGGGGCGGGTCCCCGAACAGGGAGAGGCCCTTCCTCCAGCCCACCAGACCCCAGGTCCCATCACCTTGACCAGGGCAGAACAGCTGGAAGGAGAGGTGGTTAGGAGTTCTGGCCTCCCTCCCCACTTCTGGCCCACCTGACCCCGAACATGGGGCTGTCCATCCTTCTGTTCTCCATCCGTCTTACCCAGAGGGAGGCCCACCAGGGCCACCAGGAACAGGGTGAGCAGGGGCGCCATGGCTGGAGGTGAGCGGACAGAGTGGGAGTGGTGAGGTGAACAATCCAGGCTGGGGCTGGGGCAGGGAGAAGAGGGGGCAGACAACCCCCCTGCTGTCCCGAAGCTCCTGGTTTACTGGAGGCACGGCAGTCCTGCACAGAGGGGGACGAAGACAGGTGGTCACCACGGGGACTGAGGGACCCCAGGGGACCTGGGCAGAGAAGTCCTGTGCAGACCTG